TGCAATATTGTTACTTCTACTCTTTATGCAAACTGCATAAAATATTAGAATGAATAGAAATGAATAAATAAGTTGACCATTAATTAAAAATTATTATTTAGGCATTTGGTGTTTGTAAACAAATTAATATTTGGGTAGATTAATTTTGTAAAAGTGATCCTAGAAATGTTTACAGATTGATTTTAGTATAAAGAAAAAGTATTATGAATAATCCTGAAATGCTTCTTTTATGAGAATTTATCTGCATTGTCAGTGTTCTTTTAGTAGTTTGAAAATTTGAAAACCCATGTGGAACAGCAAAATTAAATTTACCCTGAACATTACCAGTGATGTCTAGGATTTAAAATATCACTTTCATGATCAATGACACATAGCCCGATTGTGCTTTTTATGTTATAACGTTAAAGTAAAAATTTTGAAACATGAATGCCATTCAAATACAGAATAAACAAATATCAAAATTATTTGATTTATTAAAAAATGAATCAAAAGAATGGTAAAGAATGTAGTTAAACAAAAAGTTCAAGAGAGGGACTATCTATAGGGATCTAAGGAGAGTCGTGGATTGATATTGTTTGGCAAGCATACAAATGGTTAATTTCCAACAGTACAATAAAGTTGTCAACTTTAGAGATCCATAAGGATATTTCAAAAAATCATTGGAAAATAGAATTGAAAGATAATTTGTTGTGGGTGCAAAAGTTTTGAAATTCGTGAATATACTTTTTTCCATAATACACACTTTCCATGTTTTTTGAAGTTTCTTTGTTTGAAAGGTAGAGGTGGTGGGAGAATGAGAAGAGAGAGGGGGAGAGGAAGAGAGATCTTCCATCTGCTGGTTCGCTTCCCAAGCGCTCACCACACCAGGGATGGACCAAGCTGAAGCTAGGAGTCCCCAATGTGGGAAGCAGGAACCAGTTCCTTGAGGCATCCTCTGCTGTCTCCCAGGGTGCATGTTAACAGGAAGATTGATGGGGTGTGGAGCTAGGGCTCAGTAAAAAGCACTCCAAAATGGGATGTGAATGTTCCAAGCTTAACGTTACACCTCAGTGCCTGTCTCGAACTTTCTATCTACTTATTTTAGTTGAGATATATATGGAGAAAGAGACACAGAAAAAGATCTCCCATCCATTGGTTCACTCCATGTTCTTTTTTAAGGATTTCATTTTTTTCCCACCACACAAAAGTCATTTGTATGTCTACTGGCGACAATCTAAAAAAAAAAAAAAAATTAAGATGTAACTTTGCAGAATCCAGCTGTCATCGGTCACAAATAGTAAAATAAAGCATTCATTCTGTCACCTCGATCTGGATGAGCCATAGGCAAGTGGATTAGAAAATGCTTAAGCAGGACAGTGGTGTGTTTGACTCCTTTGCTTATTCCAATTTTTCAGTATTCGGGGCAAAGGACATACCTGTGTCGTCAGCGTTCGTGGAGAGCAAAGTATGGTTATGACATAATATAACTTAAATACCGTTTGTCTGTCTTTCTCAAAATATTATATTTTTCTTTCTTTTTTTCATGATATGATTCCATAAGTACAGGGATTTCCCCCTCCTCCCCAATTCATTCCCCTGCCCATACGTTTTCCCCCATATTTTTTACAATGTAAACAATCACATCATTCTGCTACTTAAGTGTACCATGACATTATAGGTACAGATAATGGTAGAAAATCCAGTATCCTATTGTCAAGATATAATGAACAATTTCAACGGGAGTCCTCCTTTTATTCACGAGTGGAGCTGCATAGTGTCATAGTGTCCATCTAAATAGACACTAATAATCCTCCTGAATGTTTTCATTCAAAGAGACTTCATCTTGATGTGTTGCGTACATATTGCTTGAAGTTTCCCAGGTCTGCTAATACACTCACGTTCTGACTTGGCGTTTGTCCGCTGAAGGATGTTGTCTAAGAGCACATGAGCTCCACAGTGTGATCACAGCTGATTGGTTGATCTCTTTTCCATGCTTTCTTCTTTTCAGGCCCAGTTTTTTAAAGTGAGCCATCCTCAGTGCTCCATTTTATTCTCTGTTCTTGTCATTTCTCAGAGCTTTCTTTCATAACAGTTGAATGGTATGGCGTTGGGAAATTGTCCAGGTTTCTTGAAGCTAATCATTCTGAGATTTTCCTACTTTGTGGGGACAAGTTCTAGCACTTAAAGACTGGCAAGAGGGACAAAATTATCCACTCAGATCTGTCTCGGTCTCAAGGGTCTAGACATGAGAGAGACCCTTCCTAGTGCCTTAAATGACAGTGGGCTTCTAGCACTCTTGTGAGGACACCTTTTGCAGTCTTTACCTAATTTTGGACTTACTTGTTCACTTGCTAAATATTGTCTGTCCACCCTGCATATAAGTACAGTGAGGAGTTTATTCATGTTTGTTTTGAACTCTCTTTTATTCTCGCATCTAGGATGGGCTGAATAAATTGTATTTAAAAAAGGCAAAAAAATCATTGGATTGCATGTGTGCCTTGACATCAGCGGGTAGTAGCTAAGAGTGAGAGATAATGGAAAGTAACTTTGGTTTAAGAGATGAAACAGGACGCCATTGCTTGAGGCATCTGTTGCTTGATGTGTTCCTCACTACCCCTTTTGCTGGTGGAAATGTCCCAAACCAACAGCTTTAGATGCCATAGAAGATGAATATGTCCATTACAGAGCAATAGTAACATCAGTGTGAAAAAAAGAGAGGAAAAAAATAAAAGGATGCATAATGCAGGCTAAACCTTTTATGGGAAAAATTCTCTTGGTAGCTAATTCCAAAAATAGTCTTTATCTAAAATAAAATCATTACTAAGATGGTTGCCTTTAAGCGATACATTAACTCAGAGATAACTGCATTGCTCCAAATATGTCAGCATTGAAAGTCTGTCTCATTGGAATTTTTCTTAATTTATTATAATCTAATAATCATAGAGCACATTATTTGTATTTGACACAGAGTTATGTTTGTGCCAGGCACATTCATCCAGCTATATAACAAGGAATAATTGTTCACTTAACATTATTCTTTCTACAGAATGCAATGTTTATTCATGTGCACTTGGTGAATGAATTCTTTATAAGCACATTAGCAAGATGTGAAAAAAAATCAAACCTTTGAATTTTCAAAAGTTAGCTCTGTAAAATAGCTGAAAGAAATTTTTGAGGGGTGGTGGATATAAATAGTTCACAAAATGTGATGGATAATCTGAATGAAATGAGCATTTTGGCATACAAGTAGCTGTAACAATTTTGTCAAATGGAACAAGATGAGTAAGCTGTAATGTCATTTTATTGACTGGAAGAAGTCAGCTTTCCAGTTGAAAAATCACTTTATATGTTATTGGTTTCTCCTAACCTCTTCATTTATTATATAAATGTACTCTCAAGGATAATCGCCTTAAAAACTTTTTGGATTTGTGAAATATAGAAAATACTTTCAGGATTTCTGAGTATTATCAGTTCCTTTGTGTGTCTCATTCAGGGTGCAACCGATTTTGACAGATGTACTGTGAACGTTACTGGTAAGACATGACATCGATTTCAGATGAGCTGAATAAGAGTGATCTTGACAATGAGTGGATAGGACATTGTCAGAAAGCTGAAAAACACGTCCGTGTCACTGTTGGGTCATAAATCTGACAGCATAGACCGTATAGTAGCATTTAGCCAGTGTCTTTCCAACAATGCCTAACATTCTCCTTAAATGCTATCTCTTAGCCATGAGTGTTTGAAGTGACATTTTTATGAAATTGTGGTGTGTCTAATTGTGTATGGATCTCTTATAACATGTGTATGAGAAAAAAATGTAAGTTATTAGCACCAGCGTTGTGGTACAGTGAGTTAAGCTGCTGGCTGAAATGTGGGAATTCCATATTGAGACTCAGGGGCTCCACTTCTGATCTAGCTCCCTGCTGATTCTCTTGGGAAAACAGCAGGAAGTGGCCTAAATGCTTATATCTCTGCCAGCCTCAGTGGAGACCTGAATGGTGTTTCAGGCTCCTGGCTTCAGCCTGGTCCAGCCTGGCTACTACAGCAATTTGGGAAGTGCACCACATGATGGAAGGCCTCTCTCTCTCTCTCTCTCTCTCTCTCTCTCTCTCTCTCTCTCTCTCTCTCTCTCATTTCTCTTGCTCTCTCCTCTTCTTCCCTCTGCTCTCTGCTCTTTCTTGCTCCATTACTCTCCTGTCTCTGTCTCCTATGTCCCCCCCCCACTTCTCTCCACTTTTCAAATGATGAATCTTTAAATGCAAACACTTTTGAATCCAACAAAAATTTAACTTCAGCATGTCAAGGCCTCATTGACAAATTGGCCATGAACATGTGTGATGGTTCATATATATCTATATATAGATATGTATGATGTAATTATTACTTTGATTTTCTCCTTGGAATGTAAAAAATATTTACAGATTCAGGTGTGGGTAACTGGTAGATGACTCACCAATACTAATTTGTGTTAGTCGATAATTGAAGAACATTTGATGTGTGCCTGCACAACTAACGAGCTGTGAGAGTCTGTTGATAACACATCTCTAGGGAAAAGAAAACGGTCTAAAGGCAGCTCAGGTGTTTGTTATGTGAGGATGAAAGACTTGCTCAGTTCTCCTGCTCTTGTGAAGTCTCTATTTTTAAGGCTTTTTTCTTCTGTTCTTAAAATCTTTGTGTTGATGTATTCCTTCCTTTTGGGTTTCTTAAAATAAATCAAGGCACTTCAAAGAGCCAAAAAATAGCCATTAATAATATAAAAGAATGAGGAATACATTTTCAAATATGTTTCTAGAACATGTATTCGTAGCCAGCTTAGTGAAAGCTAAAATAGCATTCTTCCCTGGTACCATTAGTCGTTGGGCTGGTCATGCCTCCCTTATTATGACCAGCCCAGAGCTGAACTATACATGCGTGTGTCTGATTACGTAGAATCATGTGCGCTCGGTATCTGTGTACGTGATAAATGCTTTCATGAAAGATGCACTCATCCTCAGAATGACTTTTGGTGTCTTTGTCTCTAGGATCAGAGGTCGTTGATCTTGATGGGAAGAGTTTCCTTCTCTACAGATTTGATCAGAAATCCCTGAGTCCCCTAAAAGATATCATTTCTTTGAAATTTAAAACCATGCAGAGTGATGGGGTTCTACTCCACAGGGAAGGGCCGAGCGGAGATCACATCACCCTGGAACTGAGGGGAGGAAAGCTCTTCTTCCTGATTAATTCAGGTAAAACTCTCCTTGCCATGCTTAAGATTCTACCTTGCTTAAATCACTTGGGAAACTTGATGCTTTTACAACTTCATTTTTAACACTTATAATGGCTTACCTACCGATTTGAGGATTTGTATGTGTGTCAATATCACTCCTATATGTAAAAATGTTTCCTATTTTACAAATCCCACAAGCCTCTTATTTAGTGTTTTATTTCTCCCCACAATGCTGATAGAACTCTAGCTATTTCCTAATGTCATAAAGAAAGAGATGGGTCATTGAGAAATATTGAGGTAGTAAAAATAATGAGATTGTAGCAAAGATAAAATTTACATAGAGGATGAGCAGACAATGGGCAATAATAATAAAAAAAATTAACAGTGGAAACATCCTGGCAAGGTTGAGAGACTATTATGTTCAGATTTCAGGTAACCCCATTGCAGTGTTGTGGAGCACAAGGAGGGAGGCTGCAGTGATTACCAGACTGATGCACTGAAGGGAAATTTTTTTTTTTTTCATTCTGGGCCTAATGATGCTGTTACTCTTTTCTCTTCTAAGGTGAAGCTAAAGTGCCCACTGCTCACAGCCCTGTCAGTCTCACCCTGGGCAGCCTGCTGGATGATCAGCACTGGCACTCTGTGCTCGTCCAGTGTCTGGGCAAGCAGGTCAACTTCACCGTGGACGAGCACAGGCACCGCTTCCATGCGCAGGGAGAGTACGCCCACCTGCATCTTGATCATGAGGTGTGATGATTTTGTTCCGATTAACATGGCTTTTAGGGTGTGTGTGCAGTTTAGCCTGCCTGGATGTGGTCTTCTGTAGGTAACCTGCTTCTTGCAGTAAATCACCAAGCTGGTGGAGCATCTCAATGGCATGCAAGCCCCAGCAGCAGGAAGGAGCAGAGAATATTTGAGGTTTCATCTTGCTCCCACTGTGTTATTATTAACGATGTTCTGGAGATGATTTTTTTTAACCTGAAATATGTAGTCACAGAATATTGCACATAAGGAAGTCTTCACAAAGGGATCACTTCACTGCACACAAATATGAAAACTCCCTGTGCTGTAGGATACCTGTGAACAGTGCAGATGATAGAAAATCACAAAAGACAGATCCGTTAATTAATTCATTAACCACTAGTCCAAATGCACACAGGTTATTATGTGTAAGAAATACGTGTAAAATTAAAAAGTCATTATGACTGTTGTATATTATTGAACAGATCCTGTTCTTACCATGGATGGAAAGATGTGTTTATTTCTTTTTCTCAGCCTATAGATATCAAAACCAGGTGTGATTAACAACTCAAGAATAATCAGGCTGTCGTGTAAATGAAAACTGAATGCCTACGTTTGCTTTAACATCCATGTATTCATTTTCTTCCAGTATAGGGTGATGAAAATTGATCTCTCTGTGTTGTTTACAGCCACAGTCGCTAATCATAATTATTTGAGCAGATTAGTAGAAAATCACTAAACAATATTATTGATGCCATTTTTCTTTCTAAGATCAGCTTTGGAGGGATTCCAGCACCTGGCAAATCGGTGTCATTCCCATATAGAAATTTCAGTGGGTGTTTAGAAAATCTCTATTACAATGGAGTGGATATCATCAACTTGGCCAAGCAGCCAAACCGACAGATCCTCACAATGGTAAGAGTCTTTCTGTAAGGGGGTGCGTAAAGCTGAGCCTCTTGTGACACAGTGGTTCAGGGGTCAGTGAGAGGAAATCAGTTCCCAATGTGAGGGAGCACAGTGGGGTATGTGTAGTTCTTAACAGCCTGTGATCTAGTGTCTGAGCAAGTAGGAGAGGAATTCCAAGGCTGCAACAATACAGTAGCGAGGCAGATGTTTGGTCACTCTAACTTCAGCATGTACCTTCTGAGCATATATATTGGCATGGCTCACCTGACTCCCTAAATACAGAGATTTTTAATCAAGATAGTTTTAATGTTTTTGAAACTGAATCAAAGCAAAAAAAAACTTGTGCACCATTTTCACACAATAGCATTGTTTTAACGTGTTAGCTTCTCATTTGAAATGGTTTTAGAGGTTACCTAGATTTAAGTGTTTTATCTGATTGACAATAGTCAGATAATGGGTTTATTCTCTAAAGGAATTCTCCTTCATAGGTCAGAGTTTCTTATTTTTCTGTGAGGTTTTTTTTGCAGCTGATATTTTAATTTTGTTGTGATGGTATTACTCCCAGGAGACCAATTTCTTTTGCTCTATAATTTCCTTAATAAGATTTTCTCCTGACAAACTCACTAAATGAGCATACAGAATTTCTGATATCAAATAACATCTGTGTACATTAGGCCGACATTTGAAAAAGTTGTATTATGCCATGGTCATTCATGACAAGTAAGGGAAATTAATAGGCTGTTGAGATGGTGCCTCTGCCAGTCTACACATCATAAGGTTGGCCAGACTGGGTTGCATTCCCTGCAAATGCACAGAACTTGAACATGACTACTCTGGCCAGGGTCCACCAGGGAAGTGCCATGGGTATGATTGTTCTGGGTGAGGGATGTGTTTTAGGATTTAGGTCTCAGCCATCATCTGGGTAGCTGACACTCAAGACCTGGCAGGAGAAACCAGAAGATGAGTGCAGTCACCAGTGGTGTGCGTGGGCATGTCACAGGATGTGGACTGTTCCCAGTCTGTAGAAGAAGCCCTAGAGGGGGAATTTGGGAATCATTGTACCTACAGGCCTCAAGCTAAGAGTCTGGCCATGAGCTTGGCTTGGTCTGGGTTGGTAGGTGAGCTGTTGGGAAGCGAGAGGTGTTGAGCATGGAAGACAAGGACAAACAGGAACATGCCAGCACTCTTCAGACTGTCCTCGTTACATGAGATCCCATGAAAGTCTTGAAGCAAAAGGCTGATTTTTGAATTCTCATGGTCAGGTCTCACGCAAGCTTCTTTTTAGCTGATGTTTATCCCAAGGGAAATAAGAAAGGACAATCTGGGGAAGGCAGTTTCCAGCTTTGCCAGTTTGACCATGAAAAGCAGACACATCCAGATTTAGATGAATTTCCTTCACTGCTTAGAATTTATATATATATATATATATATTTAAATTCAGGTCGAGCCAGCAAATCCCAGAGCACTTCACAAGAATTCTTATTGCTTGTATTCCTAATGCTTTCTGAAAATTGGTGGTGTTATTATAACATCCAGTATGATTTTTAAATAGTTTTGCTTTAACAAGGAGGAGAAATAATTTTAAAGGAGAGTAAAAATATTATGGACAAGTGGATGTGTGTTGGTTTCATCAACAAAATGCATATCTAGAAGTTATTAGTGCAAGGAACATGTATGCGTTGTTGTCTGATCCTTGAAGGGTCTCAGGCAGCTATCCCAAGGAAGCTCAAGAAAAAACTGCAGTTTTCATTTTTGCTAACTGAAAGTTAATCCCCAAATTAAAATATTTGTGGTGGTTGCAAGTAGGGCCTCTGAAAGGCAATTTTTGAAAAATTCGGAGACTTGGTGAGTGGAGAACCCATGATGGTGACCACGTTAGTGACTTCACATGAAGAGGAAGAGAGATCCAGGCTGGCAACCTCACACTGTCTTTGCCCTGGCATGCCTTCTGCCACATCACAGTGTGGCGAGAAGTCCCTCCCCAGTGGCCAGTGCCATGCCCTTGAACTTTCCAGTCTCCCTATCTGTGAGCTAAATGAACTTGTGCTCTTCCGTGGCATTCAGTCTTAATAACATTAAATGGACTAGAGCATTAGGCTTGCTTATCTGAGAATCACCTTTCTCTTATAGGCGTGTGTCATTCATTGGAACAAGATATTCACTTAGCAACAACTTGCAACACAGCCAAATATGTTGTGTTTTCTTTTCTAACGTGTATTCTCGCAAATTCGATTGAGTCCATTGACTTCAAGTCTGCACTTCAGAGTGAGACCTGAGTAGAAGACCAGAGGAGAAGGTGAAGGGATCTTTAGGGTACAGAACAAGAGTCTGGGTTTCCAGGGTGAGAGGAACACGTTGTGTCAAGAGGGGATGACAAAGTAGGATAAGGAGACTGCATTTCCTATTCTATAGCTGCCGGGATGGCAGTAACTTCCTGCTCGCTCTTTCTTCTGTTTTACTTCCAGGGGAACGTGTCCTTTTCTTGTTCACAAGCACAGCCTGTGCCTGTGACTTTCCCGAGCTCCCGGAGTTATTTGGCCCTGCCAGGCTCTTCCAGAGAGGAGGGGCTTTCCGTGACTCTCCAGTTTCGAACCTGGAACCAGGCTGGGCTTCTGCTCTACAGTGAACTGCAGCCCCCGTCCGGGGCTCTCAGGCTCTTTCTCAGTGACGGGAAACTTAAGGTGGATCTCTACCAGCCAGGAAAATTACCTGGCGACATCACAGCAGGTAATACATGGAGTCCTGCAGGCTAAGCATAGGGGATTGAATGATTTCATGGTCTTGTATCCCTTCCCTGAAAATGTTATGCATAACCCCCAAATTAATATTTGTTTAAAGAATGAGTCCCTGAGTTAATAAGATTATCAGAAGTCTTCCTTAGGGGAATTTGATTCCAATTTCCAATTTCCTTTTAAATATGACTCCAACATTAGCAGTTTGTATTAACCCAGATGATGGTTATGCAGCAATAGAAATATCCTCCCATGATTCTTAGTCCCATTTCAGATAAATTGATATAAATGTCATTTTATATTATAAATGAGGAAATTCATTTTGGAAAAAGCATCAAAGTCTTTTGGAAAAGACTAAAGAGTTAACTGCGTGTCCTTGAATGGACTTTGCGAAACACTCTTGCTACCTTGGGTAACAAGGTTGGGAGGTCTTGGGTGGGAGAAACCTTTCTGGAATCTGCATCTGTGTCTCCATGTTAATATGCAATATTAGGAGCCAGTGTCGTGATCTGGTAGATTAGCTTGCCATCTGCAAGGCCAGCATCCCAAATGAGTGCCAGTGCAAGCCCTGGCTACTCTCCTTCTGATCAGTTCCCTGCTCATGAGCCCAGGAAAGCTGTGGAAGAAGTCCTGGCTCCTGGCTTTGAATAGGCTCAGCTCCAGCCATTGTGGCTACTTGGGGAGTGAACCAGCAGATGGAAGATCTTTCTTTCTATCTCTCCTTCTCTCTGGAATCTGACTTTCCAGTAAAAATAAATAAATCTAAAAAAAAAAAAAAAGGAATTCACAGAATTTTAGAATATGATTGGAGAGCCTGGTACGATACTGTAGTGGCTAAAGTCCTCGCCTTGCACATGCCAGGATCCCATATGGGCGCCGGTTCTAGTCCCAGCAGCCCCACTTCCCATCCAACTCCCTAATGAGGCCTGGGAAAGCAGCCGAGGATGACCCAAGACCTTGGGACCCTGCACCCGCATGGGAGACCCGGAAGAGGCTCCTGGCTTCTTGCTTTGGAGTGGCTCAGCTCCAGCCATTGCAGCCGCTTGGGGAGTGAACCGTCAGGTGTAAGATCTTCCTCTCTGTCTCTCTTCCTCTCTGTATATCTGCCTTTCCAATAAAAGCAAATAAATCTTTTTAAAAAAGAATATGATTGGAACTACACATATAAGAAAAACAGGCACCATGAATGCTTCCCCTGGCAGTCTTCCTGTTATTGTTCAGGTGTCACTGCAACTTAAATGTGTTGTTGAAGTTCAATATTAATTACAATTTTCAGAGGTATTGTGCTGGGAGTTTATGTAATGTTCAAAATGCGGTAGATTTACAGGCATCACAAAATGAAATAAATTAATGAGTATCATTATTCAATAATTAACTGGCTCCAAAAATGAGGGTCTAAAACCATAGGCTTGTCAATACTGTGGACTTTATTGTGATGTATTTGACATCCTCTGAAGTAGTTATATTCATAGCCTAATTTCCAATGTCATAGAGAAGCTGCTACAGTACAATGCTACCATAGTGAGCCCCATGAAGCTAGTTCATTTCTAACCACTTTACAGGCATGTACAGTTAATAAATTGCTAGGTGTAAATCTGAGTAGAATACGTTGAGTGACTTAGAAATTTCTAAATGAATGTTTGGGCCCATGGACAATATAATCCATTATGGCATCACATGAGTTTTTGTGATTATTTCCATAGTTTAAAAAGATCAAATACACATGTCAGTATAACCAAGCTGTTATGCTTCAAATAAGACCCTTGTACCTACCAACTATAGTCCTGTTTTCCAGTTTCTTTTAAAATGCTGTATTTTCTTCTACTAATTTCAGTGAAGAAAGTTCTTTCACATTTGAAAATAGACCACTTAAAGAGTAGTTGGGTAGATGGTGAGAGCCCAATAATTACATCAGCTAAGAATGTGTCATGGTCACTTGACAAGGACCCTAGGTGGTTATGGATAAATTATCATCAAATCACAATAACTCCTGTTTTGAGAATGACTTAATTTTTCTAAGGTACCAGATATATAAATGACTAACGTTAACAGTTTGAAAAATTCAAACTTTTTATATACTTTACAATGGGATGAAAATCAAATTGTGTGGAGAAAGCACACGTATGCACGTGTTTGAGTCACTTGGAATTATTAAAAAATAGTGTGTCAGCCTAAATAGCTTTTGAAATATGGAAGATTTTGTATCAGCTTAAATCATGAAACCTTTTAACAGTAGTAGAAAATGCTCAGAACACAGACTATTTTCAGTTCTTGTCACCTTGATAGATGTTATAGCATAAATCCTTCAGCCAACATCCAAGGCCCAGGGACCAACAATTATGGCTTTATTGAGAGCAAATTCATGCCTGTCTAATTTGAGATATGTTTTTTAATTGTTTGAGTATTTCTGCTGGAGCTTTTGCCTGAGAGTCATAAACAAGCCTTGCGGCCCATGGGCAGACCCTGGCCAAGGCACATTCATGGGTGTGTGAGACGCTTCTGCCTTGTCACTTCCCAGGCATCCGTGGGCCTGGTGCCTCTGGCAAGGGAGCAACTTTTTCGACTTGTCCTGCCCGTACTGCAGAGCCTAAATGGCCACACACTGTACTTCTGCTGCCCGCGGAAGTGACGGGCACCAGTGACCTCCACGCTTTCATCTTGACAAGATCTATCTATAGTGTTCTAGACCCTTAATTGTCATTAGTGACTGTAGCTAGTGAATGTCAAGGTTCTTGGCACTCTGGAGGACTGAAATGCCTTTGGAAACAGGTAAAACTCTCCGTTTACCACTTGAGTAATGGCCTGTCTGTACAAATATACCTATACAGCTTGCTCTAAAAATGCTTGTGATGGTCTTATGAGAAGATGAGGGGAGCTACGCTGTTCTGGTGTTTCTGCAACACGTTAGAATGGGCACCCAAAGATGATATATATGGGAGCCTGTAAAAACACCTTCACCCCTGTTATATTTTGTGTAATTTACACGGTTGAGGCAGAGAAGAGGGAGAGAGATGAGACAACGACAGAGACAGAGAGACTCTGGTATACGATCGTGCCCTTTCCTACTGCCAGCAGCTGCAAACATTTCCATTTATTAAACCACTCTTCCATTCTTTCATTTGGAAATGCCAGCGTTTTCCAGCACAAGAGTACAGTAAACCTATTTGGATTTGAATAACTGAGGTTTATTATTCCTCGTTGCAAAAGGAAGCCACCCTGGAAACCGTGGGGTTGTCTCAATGCAGAGCTGTTCAGGATTTCTGGTTGTGTTTGCTGATTTTGGAGAAGTTTCAAGGAAGCAGTAGATGAAATGCTGCTGTCAGGAAGTGGGGATATTTCTTTGTAAATCTTATCTGGAAGGACGGAGGAAAGATATAAGACTGAAGTTGTAATTGGTTTTAAAAAATCACTAGTTGTTAAAAAAAATCACTAGTTGTTAATACTCAGATATAGCAGAAATTGGATATTTTTATTGTTTAATACAATAGCTCTGCTGTATTTTGTGGTTGAACAAGATTATACAGTAGCATTGGTTTGCCAGTCCAGTTTCCTTGTGGAATGACCTTGTCTGATGATGGTTCCCTGCAAGGTTGTTTATGTGCCACGGGAGGATGCCAAGGCCTTGCTCTAGATGCCAGCCAGTTTGTCTCAGCTGAGCCTCCCTGGTGGTGCCAGGACGACTGTTGGCTGTCAAGGGTTGCTTTGCTTTTTATCCAAGTTCATGGTAGGACATGATCAGACAGAGAAGAATGTGGATCTCCGTTCAGGTTCTCCTACTTACCAGTTAGACATGACCTCAGGTAATTTGTTTACTTCCCCTGAGCCTCATTTTCCTTTGTATTTAAAATGAGAATAATGATATGGTGAAGATGAGGTGACGCTATGCATAGAAAATACCTAGCACCTCTGATGAGTAGTTCTAGAAAATTACAGTTTTTATTTCATTGTTAAGTATGTTCCCTCCATTGGTTCACACTGTATGAGTGAAACTAAGTTACCTAACACTTTGTTCCTTAAGATGGGAAGCCAAATAAAAATGAAAATTCTAAGGGTCTTATTTTTCTTCTCGTCTTTTACAGTACTGTGGCTTTTCAAAGAGGTTTACCTCTCCATAGGCCTACAGGTGGAAAGGAATTATATGCTTAAAATAATAGAATCAGATTTAAAGTTATGTAGTTTAAGTGAATTAAAGAGACCATCATGATTTAATTTGAGCAATAAATCCCATTGACAGCTAATCAGTCCCCTCATTGTGGGTAAGTGGCATCTATTACAAATGAGGCCAAGCAACATCATTCTAAAAAGTTCCCTTACCAGGGTAGCACAAGTTCATAATGCAGCAGCTGGTGAGATGGGTACATTTATCTGTGTCAGATTACAGAGTGGGCTGTCCCCTGGCAATCTTTGGTTCTTAATCTAACTTGGCTGCTGTGTGGACAGTATTATTCCAAAGTCTTTTCCAGGTCTTTGACATAATGCTTTTGCCCAGGATTTGAGACTGGAAGTGTGGCCCCTGGACCAACACAGGCTCCGTGAGCCACCAAGTGTAAAAGTGGATATTCAGCATGTAGAAACTATTGTAGCAATAAGATATTGATGTAAAACCTAAGCACATGATCAGTAGGCTTGTACTTTAGATGTATTTTTCCTTTAATTTACCAATACTTTAAATGTGCGTCTGTGTACGTGTGTGTGCACGTGTGTGTTTCTAAAGGCATGTCAATCTGTAGTAGACTGGAAAATAAGATTATCCTCCTCCAAATAGTTTGAGAAACACTCTTATGATCAATGGAAAGACCAAGATTAAATAGCACAAGTGGAGTTGTGTGTTTGGGGCACAGTCATGCTTACAAGATGGTAGGAAACCCCAAGGACAGGGGCTGTAATGGAAAGCCCATGTGGTATACATCGCACACTTTAATTTCTTTTTTTTTTTATTACGTTGCATTATGTGAGTTACATAGGCTCTGGGATTCCCCCAACCCCACACTTTAATTTCTAAATGTGTCCTAGAGGAAGCACTGGATGACAATTTGGGGATGTTTGTTTTATTTTTGACCAATCTCATATTGTCAGATATTGCATAGCTCCATTCAGTTTCCTGTTTCGGAGTCCACTCCCGGAAAATGTATCCCAATGTGTGTAACCCAAACTCTTCCCATTTCTGTGTTCATGTCTTTGCCATTATCTTTCACAAACCAAACGAAGGTTGAGTCTTGGACAATCTCCCTTGCTTTGTGGATGGAAAAGTTAATTTCTGTGCCCTGACTACAATTTGTGTTTACTTGAATGTGTCCAGGATCAAAAATTAAAATCACCTTAAGAGAGTTGCAGCATTTTCAGTCTGCAAGTGTGTGGTGGAAAAATAGCTTGGGGGAATAAAACCAATTGCAACTAACATCAGAAAAGAAATCACATGTAATATATTCAAAAAAAAAAGGAGGTTCTTTGGGGTTAATAGTTTTGAAATTTTGTGTCATAATTTGACCTGTGAAATTATATAGAATTGAATATTTATTGGGTGTAAATCTGGCTGCTAAGCCCACAATTGAGATTCTGAGGCTCCACACTTCTGCCCAGTGTTCCAGCCCAGAGCTTCCTATAGACTGAATCTCCTTGAAGAGGAGAAGGCTGTACTGTCTTTTGTATTCATGGTGTTAGAAATACTGTAGGAAGGACTCACTCAGAGATTGCTTTTGGAAGTGGTAAGAAAGACCTTAAATTTTCTTTTTAGCAGCTTGGAAAATATAGGAAAAAATAAACATAAAAACGAAACCAACAAAATTCTTATTTTGTAAAAAAGTAGTTTCTGTGTAGATATCTGTCCATTAAGTATGTTCCCATATTTATATAAAAATTCAGAATAAATTTTCATCACTTGTGATATTGTGATTTTTTTTAAAATTCCTGAGCACATGGGTTTAGCAGCACACAACCATTGCTACTAAAGGAAAAGCAGGGGCAGGTTCCTGAGGGCTTCTGGCCGCTACATTGTTCTCCACCAGTCAATGTGAGGGACCTTCAAAAAGTTCCTGAAAAATATATAAAACAATGCAAATGAAAAAAAAAAAGCTTGAATTTCATAAATTTTGCCCCAAAATGAATTTATTTTTTTATTCCATTTTTTATAGAGTTATAGAACTGTGTTTTATATGTGTTTCTATTTATAGAATTTATTTGGCATATTTATTAAATCTTTTAGCAATGAATAATCTTGGTGTGAATGAAGCTTTTTTAATATATGTATTTGCTCCAAGAGACACATCACAGCCTGCTTGTGATCAGAAACACTAGGCAAAAAAAATCACGGCTATGGTGCCACTGCGAATGCCTTTAGAGAGAGCAAAATTACTAATAAACTTCCCCAAGTCCCCCAAAGGTGCCCTAAGTGTGAAGGCAGAACAATTGAATTCTTTGTTATTAATATTTATTAATTTAAATTTTATTTTAAAGGGAAGGAGGGCGAAATAGGGGGAAGGAGACAGAGTAAGCCAGAGAGAGGGAGAGACACAGAGAGAAAGGGGAAAAAAGAAAGAGGAGATAGAAGATTTTTCCGCTCACTGGTTCACTCCCCAAATGTCCAAAATGGCCATGTTAGACAGGTGGAAGCCAGCAGCTTGGAGTTCCATCAGGGTCCAAGGTAACTGAGCCACCATTTGCTATCTCCCAGTGTGCACAAGGTCAGAAAGCTGGATCACACGGGAATCTGGGATTAGAACCAGGAGTTTCAGTATGAAATGTGGCTGTCCCAACAACTGCCCTCAAACCCCACCCTGCAGTTTAGATTCTTTGCTGCTGGATGTGGATTGCTCTGCATTCTGTTATCATATCATAAAAGGTGACTGTTCAAACATGTTTTTAAAAATACAGATAAACCATTATTTAAATATAATATATAATATGTGGGAAATTGGTGGTACTCATCCCCAACCCTATGGCACGTGATTGAAGGACTTACTGTTCAGGATTGTGTAGAGTTTAGGATTTTGTGATGGCCTCCTTTGGCCGTCTTCCTGCTTGTTTCTTACTGCTAACACAGTAGCCTCCTGTATCGCGCTTTATCTTCATTTTCTGTGGTTTCAGTTAGTTGGCGTCATCTAGAGTCCAAAGTTATTCAATGGAAAAAAATCCCTCCCAAATAAACAGGTTTTAAATGACTTTAAGTGTAGTATACTATCATAATTATTCTGTCAATAGCTAATTGTTAATTTGTACAGTGCCCCATCTGTAAGTTAAGCCTTTTATAGATATATGTGTATAATAAAATATATATGGTACAAGCTGCATTTCAGGGATCTAGTGGAAGTCTTGGAACAGATCCTGTAGGGACTGGAGGATAACTAAATGTAAATCTTAGCAGCAGTTGAATGCTGTATCCATTGCTGATCCTAGCCAACTGCCTGTTGAGTTCACTGTTGACAGCACTCTGTTTTAACCAATGCCTCCTCTCTCCTCCCTGCCCCTGCCCCTGCCCCAGGTTTTGGATTGAATGATGGGCAGTGGCATTCCATCTCCTTATCTGCTAAGAGGAGTCACTTGAGTGTGGCAGTGGATGGCCACATAGTCTCCTCAGCTCTTATGCTGGGACCTGAGCAGATTTATTTGGGTGGCACCCACTACTTTGGAGGTAAGAAAAGGCCATATGGCAGTTTTCAAGCCTATTTGCATTTACTATGCCTGTGTTTGGGGGAAGTCATTATACTTTCATCAGGGTTAATACTAAGGAGTCATTTCCCACTTTCTTGGAACATGGAAATGTTGAATGCATCAAGATGACAAATTATGACCTGAAATGCATTTCTAGAAGGAGGACTTACTTATGTTTACAATTTCTGTAATGAGACTGGCTTTAAGTAGGTCACCCTCTTTAGTTCTTACCTCCAAAGATTGCTATGTTTTTCTAGTGTTAAATGGTCCTTATTATGTCTTCTTCTGATTTTATGGTTGATTTTATTGCAGTGTTTTCCTGATTGTGCCTCTTAGCTCCTCAAGAGCATCTTATTGCTTTCCTCACTGCCCAATCCAGAAGGGCAATAATATGCCAATAGGCAAATGATCCAACTTAATTAGCCGTAGTAACCGCTTCTCTTAAAGTAATAATGCATGGATACATCTGATGGAGCGAGGGCTGCCACCTTTCACACCAGGCCATCTCCTCTGAAGAACAAGAACACAGGGAATGTTTACATGCCGAGTAGATCTGGAGAAAGGAACCCTGGGCAGTAGGAATGAATCTTTTATTGGAAATATTTTTATTAAATATCCTTTTCCATTGAAAAGGCAAAGTTATAAAATTACTAATAGTGACATTTCTAATTGTGACTTGCAGTGTTTCTTACATAATGTTTGTTTTGTTATCAATACGTTGCATTTGAATAGTTGCTGTTGGTGGTGTTATTTTTTAAATTGGTGTCAGTAGCCCAGCTAAACAAACAAATAAGCAAAACCCAGCATAATTTATTCCTGTGAAAGACTACATAGTGCTAATAGTTTTTAAAAGTATAATTGCTTGCTTTACTGAGTTTTGTTCATTTCTGAACCAGGTTGTTTTGGAATATAAGATTGATTTTATGGCAACCTCTGTGTATACATTCTTTTAATCAATAATAAGATATATAGAACAACTTAACCAAGAGCTCTAACTTCAAGGAAAGGATTTAGAACCACTAAAAAAGATAAGACATAGCAGACATATTATTAAATGATGCAAAATAAGAGACTGGATAAACATGTTTGTAAGTCATGAAAGTGGAGTCATCATTTCTAAAGTGTTTTACATCCTTCCTGTTCAGATTTGGCAATGCTTAGCTATTTTGTTACAGAGAATTTTTTTCTCTAGTGCTTGCTTTTATTCACGCTGTAGTATTATTTTGTAGTGAAACATATAACTTGTGCATTTTAATTTTGCTTGCTTGCATTGTGATACATATGGTACACACTATTCATATATTAAGATATTTTGGATAATTATGGATTTATAGAAAAGTTACAGGGGGCTACTATATATGTGTCAAGCATTTTCCTATATTGTACCCATCTTATGAATATTTTTGATAATACTAATCAATTTGGAAGCCCACGACTATGCAGGCATCCCTTAGCTTTAGAAGGAGTAGAGTTTTCAGTACATGTTTGTCCCTTTGGGATAATATCCTTGGCTCTCCCCCAGATAAACATTCTCCTGGATTTCAAATTACTTTGCCTTTTGTGTCCTTCATAAATTCTCCTCTGTTAAAGGTGTTCCTCATCAAAATGCCAGGGAAACTTTCACAATATACAATAAAGTTCCAACTCTGAGTCTCCAGTTAGGTACCTCTGTTTATTCGTCATCTCCGCCGGGGAGATAACAGTCCTAGAACATGCTTGACCTGGGCACAGGAATCTGATGATCACTGGAACACGTGACTTTTGAAATCGAGGCAATCTTTACATTTCCAGGATGGAGAACAAGAGGCTGAGCGACAGGAAGGGACTTTGTACCTCCTTGTCCCTCGTGGGCCCAGCCTGTGCCTCCCGGGCCTGGTTGAGGAGGTCCACCCTCCTGGATGCCTGCCTGGGATTCCAGGGCTGGCTCTCAAGGGGAGAAGCTTCCCAGCAGGCACCTCATCTTTGCATGTGATGCCTCTGGATATTGTGAGCAAAAGTACAGTTGATAAAGAACTGGAGTGCATAACATGCAGCACTGGCACAAGGGCCCTCCTTAGCAGTCAGTGCTGTAGTGTTCTGGGATGGTCGACTCTTCCCGATTTTAGCCCAAAAGATTGCTTTCTGTCCCAAGGCCTGAGCCCACTTTGACAATGAGTCATCATAGCAAACCTGTATTCAATTAGAAAACAAAGAAGATCCATGTTGTAGGAAATGTTTCATCCCTTCACTTCTTCTAAATTCACCTGCAGACTTCCAGATTCAGAACAGTGTCAGTCTGGGTGAGTTGTCCTTCCCAAGGATCAGTCTCTCTCCCACAGCCCACGTTTTGAATCCCCTTTCTATGGCAGCTTGGATGTGCCTCCCTTATTGGGAGAGAGCCAGCTCCTGAACTGAAATAGTCCCTTGCAGGTCAGCCCCAAGTTCCTCTGTTCACCCACCACCTATTTTTTTCTATCTGCAGATGAGAGCTTTTCAAGCAGGCTATGAGTAGTGCATTGTGCTTAGTTTTTATCATTTGCAAATCACAAATTTTGAATCTGGGCTGTCTGGATTGAGGGCTGTCATTTCTAGACTCTCCCCTTGGTACCCTGGTGCCATATGTAGCATGCCGTGCAGCACAATCTGGGGGACCCTAAGCCATGGGCACCATCCTCACATCCTTCCTCCCTGGTGCAAGGGAAATGTTATCCACCCAGTGAACCGGCTGCACCACCGTGGAGTCTAGCTTAAGTCTTACTCTGGTACAGTGACATACAGTGATAATTTACCTGTCATCCTCAAGGTGTTTGACATGCTGACTGCCTCTAGTAATGGATCCATCCATTAGTTCAGCATTAAGTACTCTTCAGAAAGCTCCTATTTTAGAACTTTTATTTCAGATGGGTTCTTTGCTGAACTTTTCTCTGGTATTAGATTGTATTCACTCATGACCGCATCTTGTCATAGACTACTGAGACGAACCTGGCTGAATCCTTCTGTGTTGCTTCTGGAATCTGGTTGCTAGGAACATGAAGTGCCTTGCAGTGTGACAGTGTGCTCAGTGCAGAGTTCTGGGACTCTCAGTTGTGGTTCTGCACTTGTTTGGTTTAGCCCACCTATAGGCATACTGCAGAAATAGTTTAAATGTGTCAAGAAGGACCACCAGGAAAAAAAAATGAGATGAGTGAACTGTTTGTGTTTTTGCCATATTATATTTAGCCCCAGATATTATTGAGCTATTATCCTTTCAGTTCTTACCTTGATGTTCTTGAAAGAAAGAGAGAGAGAAAGAAACAAAGAAAGAAAGAAAGAAAGAAAGAAAGAAAGAAAGAAAGAGAAAAGAGATTTATTTGTTTCTATTTGAAAGGCAATCACAAAGAGAGGAGACAGAGATCCTCCACCAGCCAGGTCACACCCCAGATGGCCACAATAGCTGGAGCTGTGCTGGTCCAAAGCCAGGAGCCAGGAGCCTCCCATGTTGGCCCCATGCTTTCTCAGGCACGCTAGCAGGAAGCTGGTTTGCAAGTAGAGCAGCCCAAACCTAAACTGGCATTGCAGGCCTAATGTACTACACCACAGTGCCGACCCAATCCCTGATGTGCATAATTGAGTAAGTCACCTGGAAAACATCAAGATTAGAGTAACCAGACCTTCAGTACTGAAGAATGTTAAGTTCTGGAAATGTGGGCAGGTTCATGCACAGTAATTAATATTCAAAAAAGCTTTGATATTTTTTCTTGATATGTTAAATTCGAAAGTTCAAAATTATGTTAAAATGTGATATTTCAATATGCTGGTCTGCTCTTACCATGTAAATATATTTTGTTCAGAAAAACAGAGCATTAGGAGAAATATCCTTAGTCAGTGTATTTAAAGATAACGGAAGTCTCTGGATCCCAAACTCGCATGGCTTATACAGGAACTAGTAAATTGCTGATTCGTTTTTATTTTTTGGAATTGTAACAGTGGTTGACAACCATAGTAACATGAAAAGATTAATAAAAAAATATATCAGTAATATGTTCATATTCTATGAAACATTTCATTTCACTTGGACAGAGAAACATGGAGAATATCATTAAACCCCAGACAATAATAGTTAATATTGTATTTCTTTATTATTAAAAAAAATTAGACACAAGTCTTAAGTAAATGCTAGAAAAAGGCAATATGAATGGGACATTCTTTTCATGAGGCAAAGAATAAATAAAGTTAAATAGTGAAATGTTTTGACACGAGAACACTAGAATTTATTAAAAATCTGTGTGTATGGAACTGTTCTCTAGGGAAATAAAATTTTTATTTGAAAAAAATTTGCCTTCTTCATCTGAGAAGCAATTAGAGATTGGGGATAGGGAGGCAAGGGTACGGAGGAGGATGTGAGAGGGAGGAAAAGAAAGAAAAGGAGTTAGTTCTCCCATTCATTGTCCCGCTCTCCAGAGAGCTGCAAAAGCTGGGTCCGGGCCAGCCTGTAGCTCCATCTGGTCTCCCACAAGGGTGGCAGGAGCCCAAGCACTGGGATCACCTTCCACTGCTTCTCCAGTGGTACTCGCAGGGAGCCAGACTGGAAGTACAGCAACCAGGACTTGCACCGAAGCTCCTGTGAGCTGCCCGAGGAGCAGGTCACGTCTTAACTTGCTATGTCATGACACTGGCACTAGGAAATCAAATGTTTGACTCAGAAAATGGTTGATAATTTAATTACAAGTCAACATTACTCCTTTTCTAAATAGTATGAAGACATTTCACTACTATTGATTTTGTTTTTTTTTTATCAATTTAATATTTCTGACTGACATGTTTGGGGGTTCTAGACCTAATATATATATATATTTTTCAAAGTTGCATTAGGCTAGGATGCTGACCCATTATGATAACAGTGATGATTTCCAGTGAATCATGTGTAGGCAAAGATACATTCTGTGTAAGAATTGTGATTGTTGTCAATTTGGATCAAATTAATGACGGCTGCCTTGAGTTTATTCCCCATTTTTAATCCAGAAGATTGTCGAACGCCATGATCTTTGCCTTTTCTAATGCAATATTCTGTAGTACTGGCCCCTGTTGCGTTAGGTTCCATCTTGGTCTTGCTTTGTCTTTATCAGGCTGCCCTGACAAAAGCTTCGGATCCCAATGTCAGAGTCCGCTGGGTGGCTTTCAGGGGTGTATGCGGCTCATCTCCATCAGCGACAAGGTGGTGGATCTGATTGCAGTTCAGCAGGGGTCCCTCGGAAACTTCAGTGACCTTCAGATAGACTCGTGTGGCATCTCAGATAGGTAAGGACAGTCACACTTCTTTATTTTGACCTGTTTTCAAACTTCTGGCAGCCGATTAAAATCTTCTATAGAGAAATAGCACTTCTGTCTGCTCTTTACCGCTTGTCACCTGCTCCACAGAAAATGGATCATACTCTGTAAGAGAAATGCATCTTTTGTTTTCTACATAATATATCAAATGATAAAATTTAGATACAGGCCATTTGGCCCTGTTATTTATGTGAGGACACACATGCTGCCAATTCACAAATGCTAATGCCAATGCTGCTGTAATTTTAAATGGATATAAGTGTAGCAAAAGTGTGTCATTAAACCGATAGATTAGGGCCTCAGAATAGACAAATGGATCATCAGACATTCGTAAATCAGATTCCTTTGAGGTTTTTTCTGTGGCCAGGGACACCACTAGTAGCTATTCTGCTAATTAGCACCTTTAGCAGCTGGTGGCAACTTCTCCGCTGGGAAAGTGAAAAAGAACCCTTCCTGTGTTCTAGAAGCGCCGTGATGTTGATCAAGGTGCAGTGTTGACCCCGTGGCTTCCGCAGGAGAGTGGATCCAGGGTATAAATTGGGATCTGAGAGCCAATTATAGAGGATAAGAGACTTTTAAAATAACGACTCATTAATAAGTAAAAATAATGTTTGGGCATGGGCAGCTATAGGAAAATCATCTTGCCAGGTATGCTCTGTTTATTTATTTATTTATTTATTTATTTATTTTTAAGATTTATTTTTATTATTTTTTCATTGGAAAGGCGGATATACAGAGAGGAGAGACAGAGAGGAAGATCTTCCATCCGATGATTCACTCCCCAAGTGAGCGCAACGGGCCGATACTATGCCGATCCGAAGCCAGGAGCCTCTTCCGGGTCTCCCACGCGGGTGCAGGTTCCCAAAGCTTTGGGCCGTCCTTGACTGCCCTCCCAGGCCACAGGCAGGGAGCTGGAAGGGAAGTGGGGCTGCCGGGATTAGAACCGGCGCCCATATGGGATCCCGGGCGTGCAAGGCGAGGACCTTCAACCACTTGCGCCACCGCGCCGGGCCCTATTTATTTATTTTTTAATATCAAGACAGCATTTTACTGATGGGGTTCCCGGGCAAGCTACAGCATTTGCAGATTTCTAAAAATCTGTACACCAAGCCCTCTGCTAAACAATTTATGTGGATTCAAACTTACATCAACCCTTGAAAAAGCCCTTAAAAGTTGCTTTTGGTTGAATTCAATTCCTACAAATATGGAAGTAGATAAGCTGAGAAGAGGTATCGCCCAGCCTCAAAGCCCAACAAACACGCTGATCCAGCAAAGGCCCCTCGCAATGCACTCCTGTGTTGCTAGGCAGCCTCTTGGGCTTCTGGTTAGGCTTTGTGGTAGTTAATATTTAATTCATGAATAATAAATATATCATCAGGTGGCTTAATGAATTATAATTTAAAACAAATAATATTAAACACATAGTACCAGTTTTTTCTTTTTTTTTTTTTTTTAACTATAACCAACTTGAAGAGAATCAAACTGACACTCAAAGCTATCCCTATAGACAAACATGAGCTCACACTCACACAGCCAGGACCCTGAGCTGCAAACGGTGCAACAGCACACACGTCATGACCTCAGCTTTCCAAGCGCATCCTTGGATGGGTGAAGGTCCATATCTTGGCCACAGACAGTGTTTGCCATTCCCTGAGGGCAGTGAGGAGGTAGGTGTGCTGTGCATCTGGTCTCCAGATGCCTGTGGGGAACAGAGTGGCTACTGTGTGACAGTGGTGATCACTGGGAGCTCCTGGCTGCCCCAGTCCCAGCCTCTGTTCCTGCATCATGCTGTCCCCTTGAGTCCCTCTGGCCCTCAGTCCTTGTGCCCTGTCTTGGGCCTCCATTGCATCCTTTTCACCATTGGGCCATGTCCCTCCTCCCAGCTGATGCTGTCTGCAGCCCACGTCTTCTGCTGTTGGCACAGCCCTTCCTCCTCTGTGCTCACGTGTGGTTTGTCTCTTTCAGTTGTGTCATTCTGCCTCTTGTAATTGTAAAGACATTGCTTCTTAAGGGGTGGGGCTCAGACAGGGTAATGGTTTCTGCCATAGACCAATGAGATAAGACATTCAGATTCCCTGAACATCCTTATCCTAGGACCCACAGGTACCCAATGTTGTTTATTTTTCCTAAATTTGATGGTAGTGCAGAGCTTTCACTCGAGCATCATTAATTCTAGCCAACATTTACTTGGTGTGAAAGTCTTTCAAAATGTCAATTGGAGTGGACAGGCAATCAAGATAAATCAAACACTTACACATCATGTCAAGTTACGGCATGTTGATGTCTGCATTCGTTCACGTTTGCAAGCAATGAGAGCAATGATGGAAATGTCTGCGGGAAAAGCTTTAGAGGCCAGAGAAAATGGGTTGATGGATCATCTTACCTTGAATTGGATTGACTAGCAAGGGAGAAAGTGCAAAATACAATTGTGTGGAGCCTTCAAGTGAGAACGAATGCAACACCATATGATATAAATTGTCGTAGGTTACTAGCTGTCTAACATTATCATATAATGAGTTTAAATAAAGCTCACAATTCAGACTTTATCTAAAATGTGAAAAAAAAACCTAATCATAATCAGAAATAAAAGGCTTCAGTTGGACTTCCAGAAGCTGGTCAAATGGAAATAGCAGAGTAAGTAAGAATGCCTCCTAGAGCTTAGGCAAACCCCTTTCACCTACCTTTCTACAAATGTGGTTTGGGTCTGTGAGACTGTTACGGGGTGCGAGTGAGATCACACCAGACATTTCTAAGATTTTTTTTTCTAGATTGCCATTGATTTGAAGTGATTAAAAATTAAATAAGTAATGATACATTCTCTTTAAATGATTGCTTACAGATCTATAAAAATGCTAAATAAAATATATAAGAACTTACAGAACTTATAAAGGTGCCCATGATTTAGTTTTGTAAACTGAACACACAGGTTGTAATATAGCATTGACTTCATGATTGTGTCTATGCATGCGAGCACATACATATGTATTTATTTGTAAGGATAACTTCTACCTAAGGAGGTTGGTATGACGTGTCTTCTTTGCTTGATTTCTGTGCAGTGGACATCTATTTTTTATAATCAAGAAAAATCAATAACAATATTTGTGGTTAAGATTGGAAGAATCCCATAAGCGAGATAGGAAGTTCCCATCCTTAGTGTGGGTAAAGGAGGTGGCAGAAACCTCATCATGGATCTGTTCTTGGCTGGTTTTGTGGTTCAAGTGATTTTAAACCTGGGATGAATGGGAGTGTTGAGACTGTGGTCTGATCAATCTTTCGGTCTTCATTCTGAAAGGCATCAATAATCTGATAAGTGCTATTTGGGGCCCAGTTCCCCACGTAGGGTTACCTGTCCTTTTAGTGGGCTTTTGCTTGTTCTTTACCTTGTCTCCAAGCCAGAAGATATTCTTAGCACTTTCCAATGTGGTTTAGATTCAAATGATTTCAGTATTTACTTGCAAACAACTGGCTAACAATGCCACTTAGGTGATTAGAGCTTGCTCATCTGCTAATTGGTGCTTTAGGCTCTCCTCCTCCTAGGGACTTGGAGAGACAGGGACTTCATCTTTCTTGATTACATTTGAAAGGGAATGATTCCAGGCCCTTTAGGAAAAGGTTTCTGGATTGTAGAACTGCCTAACCACCAGAATATTTACATCTCAAAGGAACAAAGAAATCATGGCTTCACTTTGCCCTCTAGAGAACCAGCTCATTGCCTGGAGGCTGCATGTCTAAGCCCTAAAGAATTTTAAAAAATACTGCAGGTTAAGTCAGGGTGGTCAAGTGTGGACTCTGGCCCAGTGGAGGGCAGCAAGTGTTAAAGCCACAGGAGTCTGTCAGGGCTGGTTGAGGTCAGATTAGAGTCTCCTTTGGTGTCCTTTGCATCCCAAGTCATTTGTATCCTGCTTCTATGCCCACAGATAAACCTAACCATCTGATTTTTTAAAAAATGATTTAGGTCCCAACAATTTAGTAAGTATTTATGTCCTAGCAACTTACTTATTCTTTTCAAAAACTGGCTGAATCTAGACATTTAATGTACAATGTGAAGACAAAAAAAATTGATTGCATTTGGAATTCATACTGTTGTAGGATGTTGGATGCAAAAACAGGACAGCAACCTTGCTGCTTGTCTCACACAAAAGAAGGATTTTCATGCAGACAAACTCAAGTTTGCAAAGCAGGATTAATTTAGGAAAAAAGGGAAAAAGTGTTATAGGGTTTGAGCAAGATCACACCAGACATGTCTAAGATTTATTAAGGAGTCTTTATTAACCAAGCTTGGTGATAACAGGGCCCACTAGAAATAGCAAATCACAAGTCCATATGGCATTCCAGTCAATCAAAACCCCAAGAGGAACAAATGGTCATTACCCTCAAGTCCATCTGTTAAGCTGAAGACCCTTGTCCCAGCTTCCCCAACAATATAATTTATCCTAAGAGACATGCAACAAATAACCTGGACACACTTACAAAGCTGCAGACATTCACCTTTGCCTGGCTTCTCTGCCCACATTCCACTTCTGCTAGGCCTCTCCTGGAACTCCCGACAGCACACAAACCAGAAATACAAAGCATCTTAGCATTGCTACCTTCATTGTCCCATCCAAGCAGTGAACAGAGGGTGAGGAATACAGACACACAGGGGCCCTGCTCAGGGGATACCTGTCATCAGAGGTACTGGGGAGGCCAAGAGTTGGAGTGCCAGAGCAACAGAAGTGCATGAGCTAGAGAGCAAGCCCCTCCTTGAGCCTTTCTAGGGGCTTGTGAGGGGAATGGTTACACAACAATGCAATACCTTTCCCTCTCAGGTGATAGGTGAGAGTCACAGGTGGGCAGGAAGGAACACCCAGGTGGTGGGGTGCAGTGGCTTCCAAGCTTGTGACCCTGGACTCACTACAAAAGGGTTCCTGCCATGGTAGCAGAAGGGAGTTCCATGTGTCCTGAGGAAGAACTCTAGACCTCCTGCCATAGTGGAAAAGAAAAAATTCCAAGGTAATGGTGAAGATGGTATCTTTTATGCATCATCTCAGGGGAGTTAGCCAAAGGACAAAGGAAAGAACTTGTTCTCAGTGGCACCTGGCTCTAGAACAGACAGACTCAGGAAGGTAGGACCCGTTAACTTCTCATCCCTTCTAGTGATGAGCTGATCACTTGGGCACCATCTGACAGTGGCCCAGAGATGAGATTGGGTGGGGCACTTCTCCTTGCTTTTGTTACAACTCTTGATATGGTAAATTCCTATGTTAAATCTGTCCCTCTATCCTTCCTCAGAGAGACAGAGTCCTTGAAAAACATACTCTGGGGAAGTTAAGAAATGGGGAAGAAATACAAGTTTATATTAAAAAAAAAATAACTTGGGGACCAGAAAAATTCTAACTGCCTACTATTCCCTCTATCTCCTCACACAGTACTAAATGAGTGGATTTTATCTACTCTTGCTACAAAACAGCAACAAATCAAAGAGCTATGTGAGCTGTGATGGATATATTTATTTGCTTCACTTCACTTTATATATAATATCATGTTTTCTGCCATAAATATATAGCATTTTATTAAAAACAAAGTTATACACATAGTTTGGATATTCTTTATTTTGAATTGCATGCAATTATTGAGTGATTTTGCTATGTGTACCTGTTGGCTTCTGTACAAATATTAAGAGCTTGGAATCAGTTGTTGATTCGACATTATAATTGTTGACTCCCTATTAATTATTAACCCAGCTTATTTGAGATGAGCTGTGATTAAAAGGAATATTTTATGAGCTCATGTTGAAGCTGAGCTTTGTGAGCTAGTCAGTCACAAAGTGCCTGACAGATGTGGCCCTCACTTCTCTTGGACATTCGGAATATCCTTGGAGCCCCTGGAGATCCACTTTGCCCCCCAGAGAATCCAGCTCATTGCCTGGAGGCCATGAGTCTGAACCCTGAAGCTTTCCACATCCCTGGTGGCCTCAGCTAATACAGACACCTTTCTTCCTGATTTTTGCCTTCCTTCTCTTTATTCCATCTTCTGTTTTAAAATTTTATTTGTTTATGTAAAAGGCAGAGAAGATGTGTATGGGAAGAGAGAGAGTCTTTAACTTGTTGGTTCACTCCTCAAATGCCTGAAACAGCTGAGATGTGGCCAGGCTGAAGCCAAGAGCCTGGGTCTCCATTCACACCTCCTACATGAATGTCCAAGACCTAACTGTTGGGGGCATCATGTGTTGGCTTCCCTCTCACGTTAGCAGGGAGCTGGGTGGGAAGCAGGTTGGAATTCAGTCCCAAGCACTTTAATATGGAAAATAGGCATTCAAAACAGAGGCTTCACCTGCCATGGTGGGTTCCACGGTGCCCACTCCTTTTAATTCCTTCTTCCTTTAAATATCTAAACAATATAGTAATTCAGTATGATAAAATATTATTTTATGTAAGCTGATGATACTCTTTGCAACATACAGAATTTGTGTTCTGTCACTTAGGGAAAATAAAGGGCTCCGATAATAGTGAGATATGTTGAAAATTAAGCAGTCACAACCACCTAAGAATTGTTTGAAATCTGATGCATGTATTGATCTAGGGTTTGGTTTGTGATTAAAGTACCTTCACAAGTGACTGAATAACCATTTGTCATGTGAAACTCACTCTATGTTATGGCTGATGTCTTTCTTCCACATGACTGTGCATGAATGATTAGTACTTTATGACACCTAACAAAGAAACACGGTGATTGCCTCTGTGCCTTCTTGCAGGTGTTTGCCCAACTACTGTGAACATGGTGGTGAATGCTCCCAATCCTGGAATACCTTCCACTGTAACTGCACCAACACGGGGTACAGAGGAGCCACCTGCCATAACTGTAAGCCAGACACACCTGTTTGTTCTGTCCCTGTGATGACTTCCTTGCTTCTTTTTCCCTTTTCAGTTATAGGTTGATGTTTCCAGCTAGGTGCACTCCTGTGCTGGAACAGGCAACTCTGAGTTTTAGCATCCAGTTACTCTCCAGGGCACTTCTTGTGTATGACAGAAACATAATACAAAAAGTACAAGAGTAAGATAGCTGGAAAAAGAGAAAGCAGGTAGAGAAAGCAAATATGTCTAAGGATAAGAAGCAAAATAAAATGTAGAGCACATGGTCATTTTATTCTGTTACCTGACATGGCTCTGAACTTTCTGGAAGTCATGAAATAAACAGACATAATCAACTGCCAAGCCATTATTCATGGTACAATTATTTTTTTAATTTATTTTATTTTATTTTTATTGGAAAGGCGGATATACAGAGAGGAGAGACAGAGAGCAGAGACAGAGAGGAAGATCTTCCGTCCGATGATTCACTCCCCAGGCGGCCGCAACGGCTGGAGCTGAGCCAATCCGAAGCCAGGAGCCTCTTTGGGTCTTCCACGCAGGTGCAGGGTCCCAAAGCTTTGGGCCGTCCTCGACTGCTTTTGCAGGCCGCAGGCAGGGAACTGGAAGGGAAGCAGGGCTGCCAGGATAGAACTGGCGCCCATATGGGATCCTGGGTGTGCAAGGCGAGGACCTTAACCACTGCGCCACCACGCCGGGCCCTATTCATGGTACAATTAAACCCCAGAAATTCTCAGAAACAATGCTGAACAGATTGTGGGAGGGTTAGTTTATTCCAATGAAAATAAATCTCTCTCTCTCTCTTTTCTTTTTTTAACAAAAAAGGCAAATCATATTTGCAGAGAGAAGGAGAGACAGAAAGATCTTTCATCTACTGGTTCATTTCCCAAATGGCCACAATGGCTCAAACTGAGCTGATCTGAAGCCAAGAGCCAGGAGCTTCTTCCGGGTCTCCCACATAGGTTCAGGGTCCCAAGGCTTTCGGCCACCTTCCACTGCTTTCCCAGGCCATAAGCAGGGAGCTGGGTGGGAAATGGAGCAGCCAGGACACAAACTGATGTCTGTATGGGAATGTGGTGCTTGCAACATGAGGATGTACCCATTGAGCCATTACGCCAAGCCTCCAGTCATGAGATCTTATTCTCATGAGCTGGTCACCATCAAGCCCTGCCCTGCTCCAGATAGCCCAATGGGAATTAGGTTTTAACACATTAAGCCTGGGGCTAGGGGTACAACCCACTTCAATCAGGATAAGGGTGTAAATAATAGTTTTCTTGATCATAATGGTTCACTATTTTCCAATGCCCATTGTTGACTTACCATCATATACCCTATATTGATTTGGATAACACTGTAATAGGAGGGCACTAATTTCCCTAATAAATAGTGGGGTAATACAGAGATCTTAATCAATCTGTCCAAGGCTACTTCAGTGATTGAGCCTGGAAAACCTTCTGTGGCGTGAGGGATTAAAACCAAGAACCTTTTCCTCTATTATGAACCATGCATTTTTCTAGTGAAGTTATTACATGTGCTGTTGATGCTCAGCCATTTTGTTGTCCACTTGGGTGATCTATATGGCGGGAAAACCGTTATGCCCATTGTTTCTCATGTTATTCCTGTCATTTATGAACAATTTACCTCTTAGGGGTATCCCTTATAGCCTTGACTTCAGGCAGAAATGTTAGGTGCACAGTCCTCAGCCTTACCACCCTGGGTCTGTTACATCGCACACTGCTTTGTATGCCTGCAGAGTTGAGATGGAAGCCTGGGCTCCAAGGTTAGGCAGGGTGTGAGCAGGAGACTCTGCTGGCCCACCTGCTGTGGCCACAGTCCTTCCTAAGTTGTATCAATTATATAAATATATTTGAGTGCCTCTGAAGATTTTATGAATAACATTTGCTGATGATAAACCACATTTCACCCATAATCAGGGGTTAAGTTACTTGTAATCTATAATGGGAACAAAACAAAGTGATCAGCCTGTAGAGGAATGGAAAGAATATTGACATCGTTATTTGAAATTGTTGTGATATTGACACATTGGCCACGTTATTTCAGGTTGTCTCAAATACTCATTAATGCGATTATAAAATTTGAAAAATATTCAAGGAAGAATATCTTGATTCTTTTTTTTTTTTTTTTCTGATGCTCAGAGGAAACTTTCTACCTTTGGCTAGGTGTCCAAAAGTGTGCATGACAGGAGGGTTTTGATATCAAACCTGGTGCGGTTATGTGACAGGCACCCAGCTTCGGTTCCAAACACACGGAGACTACTGCAGGAACTTGTTTCATAGAACTATTTCTTTTGCTTTGAATTTTAAATTTCGTGAATTTTTATTTTAGAGAATCAGAGAACCTTTCCTTTGTGAATAACTTAAAAAGTCATTGATTAGGAACTTTGTGAATCCTACTTATTTTATGAAAACAGCATTTTATAGCTAATTTCATGTAAGAAGGAATATAATTACAATGCCAGCTAAAATTTTTTTATTGTTTAATTATCGGATAACAGCAGATTGTCTAAGGAAGTTCTACACTTGTACTTTAACTATTGGGTTACCACAAGGTGATTTTAGAATTTGAACTTCGAAAGTGAATGTCTTAAGACCAGAAATCATATCATTCTTATAAGGTGTAAATATTTAAACACCAATCTTCTCTTCTCTTGATTTTTGCAATGTAAAAATATGCTAAATTTCCATTTTTTACAAAGTTTTCTCATATTTCTTTGGTGATAAAAAGCAGTAAAATACAGTCTCATTCTTTTTCCCATATGGTCACTTTGATTCATATTAATTAAAAGGCTGAGTGTTATTCTAAAACATTTTTTTAACTTTTTTAATGTATAACCTAAGATGGTAAAAATTAGAGATCTGGGTCCCAAATTAAGATCTGAGATATTCGTTTGCTGCTCTTGCATTTATGCCAATGTGGTTTTTCCACAGCCATCTATGAGCAGTCCTGCGAAGCCTATAGGCACCAAGGCAACACTTCAGGCTTTTACTACGTAGATTCGGATGGAAGCGGGCCCCTGGGACCGTTCCTTCTCTATTGCAATATGACTGGTGAGTAAGTCAACTCTCATTTGACAGCAGCATTTTATCATGAATGCTTTACTTAGACAAAATTAAAAGGAAAGTTGACTTCATTTGCCACTTGATTAAGATCTATGCTGTTCAATAGAGCTGAAAATATCTTTAAAAAATAGTTAAGTGGTAATTATTTAAAATATTGTCATTTCTCTATGTATGTGGTACTTGTAGAAAATGTGAAAATTGAAGTTTCCTAATATGTCCCACAGTAAAAGACGTAGGCATTATTGTTTTTTGGAAAATATTGATAACAATAACAGCTTTGAGATAGATACTTTTGAAATATATGCAAGCATACGCTTATCTTATATACATAACTTTACATAGAAATTGTCATAGAGAAGGTTTTGATCTAAAAAAAAGAAAAACAGAAAACTTCCCAAAACAACTAACTAAAGGATATTTTTAAAATTTGGTAGCAGGTAAACATAGAACAACTCAGCAGCATATATCAGTGTTTGGTTAACTGAAGAAAATTTCCCTCTGTTAACATTAACACTACTCTCTTCACTTCTGAACTGGAGGTTCTAGCCAGTGCATAAAGCAAGAGAAAGAAAGGAAAATGTAAGTATTAAAAGGAAAAGCTACTATTCTCATAACTTAGACGTGGCCAGGTTATATATTAGGAATATACTTAACAACTTCTGAATGATCAATTATTCTAAATTATTAGGGTTTTCACTTAATATGAAATTAATACCCAATTAATTGTATTTGTGTTTACCAGTAATGAGCATTAGAGAATGACTTTTTGGAAGGTTACATTTTCAATAACATCAGGGATCTCAAACACATAGAAATAAATCTAATGAAAGATGTGTGAGGCTTCTACATGATTAAGTACAAAATGTGTTTTAGATAAAAAGTTGCAAATAAACAAAGCAGTATAAACTGTCATTGAGTGGAAGAAATAGTATCGTACAATGTCAGTGTTTCCAACCAAGAAACTGATTCAGTGAAATTCTAAGTCAGAATTCCTCAGAATGTGTGTTGCAGGTGTGATTGTTTTGTTGAAAATGCGCAAGCAGATTCTGAACACTGTGAGCAAAGCAAAGGAATGGGAACAAAGCCACACTAACACTGGAGAACAAACTGAAGGATTCAACTCCACTAGAAATAATGACATTGTGATATTAGCCTGAGTGAGACAGTGTGGTTGGCACAACAAAGACACATGGATGAATGAAACTGAGATTCTTCGTATAGACTCATTCAAATGCCAATAACCGATTAACTTCCAAGGTGATATTAGTGTGCAGTGAACAAAATTTTTTTTCAAGTAGTGATGCTGAGAGATCTTGTCTAAAAATACTCCCCTCCCCCGAGAAAAGCATTGATTTCTTCCCCATCATAATAAAAAAAATGGATTCCAGAACAACTGGTTTGTCCATTGTTGGAATCCACCAGCAACAAGTGATTATCTACATCCTGATTTAATTTAAGTTACTAATAAAATCAAATACGTTAACCCCATTTTCAATTGTAAATTTAAATAATGGCATTGAAATAACATGAAATTAATGCTGAGTTACCAAGTCTGCTTGGCCATGGTTTGACTGCTCCATGTCCTCCTGCAGCTGGCAGGAAATGCTTTTATCACACCGATGTAGAATCTGTCCATGAGTGCAGCAGGTCAGTACTTTATGGGAGGAAGTAAAAGGCAAAGGATGACATTAAATGGAGGCCAAAGGTGTCACAGAGGAGGATTTGCTGCTTACAATGGGGCAGTGAATATTTGGAAAAAGAAGCTTACAGATGAATACAACGAGTGTTAAGTCATCAGTTGTAGAGTCTAACTTTATACGTCTGGAAATACAGCAAATCCCAACTGCTGGGTACTGGAGTATGACAGTAAGTGCAATCGTGACAGAAGAGAAGGTCAAGTGGTAAAATCTAGGTGACTGACATTTAGGGTGAAGTTACTCTTGCTGTTTTTCATGGTGCATGGGCTTGATGGATTCCATTTGCTTTCACATACATTGAGAACTCTACTTTGTATGCCAGAGTAACCCAAACTGAATGATGGTCTCTCGTGCTTGTCTCCTTGGGGACAGCACCCTGTCTGTGCAATGCAGGCTCGCAGCTCCTGAGACAGGCTTGACTCAGTGGTTGGGCTGGGGCAATGGAATCCATGTCCTCCATGTACACCTTAACCTGGAGTGTTTGACTTAGGGTTCTCAGACTTCAGGGTGCTTAGGACACTGCATTGTGAGAGAACTACCATTTTAAGTGCAGAAAGACTTCACAGAGAAAAAAAAGGAATTGTTGCAAGTACGAAGTGTGAATGCAGGAGTGAAAGTCTTTTTTACAGATTATGTTGATCAGAATATGAGTGACATTTTACTGTTTGTTTCTAGAAACCTGTGGAACATGTGTCCCACAGATGCATCCTGAGCTTCTCACACATACCTCTTCTACAAAGTTTTGATTCTTAAAATGACGTATCTCTAAGTTCCTACACATTGTTAGTCTTTGAAGCTTTATGAACATACACACTGCAAAGTGTCTGTAAAGCATCTACGAAACATTGCAGTAGCAAATATTGAAACACCCCTCCTGGGAAAATAGAGTTAAGATTAGGTTACTGCAAACTTGTAGCTGTGATATTCTCACCAGCTGATCAATGCGTAGTAGCTGTATTTTCTGAGTGTGTTGGTTAGAGATATTTTACTTAATACATATTGTTGATTCATTAACATTGAGTTTTGGTTTAACAGCAGTGGAACTCATGGCTGAACAAAGCTCACCTAACATATGGTTTCTCTTCAAAGCTCATCACAGCCCTCTCTATTTAGGGTCATGAGACAGCACTTCATTTCCGTTCAGACAGGCCATTGTCAGCAACAAAGTCACCAACTGGAAACACACAGATGCAGAAAAATGGTCCAAAGCAAATAGGGCATCTGTTTATCATCTGAGAGTTGAAACAGACCTTACCTGGGAGATACATGTGTTAGACACCCCAGTTTTCACTTTCTGCGCATGAGCACAAGTGACTAAAAAGGCCTTGGGGTAGTAAACACATTTTTAGCAAATGTGAATATTTGCAAACAAGGATTGATTTCCTCTTTGTCTATTTGTCATATATACCTTTATTATGGATTATAATGCAGTAATATATAGGTCACGTATAAATCAGTAGGCCATGTGTAAATCATTGAATTGCATCTGCAGGATGTTGAGGGACGAGACCAGATATCCAGAGACAGCTAGGAGTCTCCGGGAGCTCTGTAAAACTTTAACAGATGTGAACAAAAGTGACAGCCCCAGAGCATAACAATCCCAGAGAGAAATGCCTGCAGCATGCAGCCAGAAACTCCTCATTGATCTGCTCTTGCAAATGAGGAATCCATGACTCGAAGCAGGGCGAATGGAATAGGTTGAAGAATATCAGCAGGGCTAGATCAAGAACTGAAGTCTCTGTCTCCCACTTTTTTACAGCCTTAGAATCACTATCTTCTATCAATGTCTCATTGCTCATGGCCAGTAACTTGTCTTCTAATTATAAAAATCAAGTGTAACCTCTGTGAAAACCAGACAAAATGCTGAATCAGTAACCTACAAATGTGGAGCTTAGAACAAAAACCCAATTATGTTAGGACTTGTGTCAAATTAGTGAATGTATATTAAAACACCTTAAGCATTCTGAACTAAGGGAATCAATCAAACAAACAAAAAATCTCCATTTTGCTTGAATAATTTCCTCCAAGGTATAGGAGGCTGAAATTTCTTTGTAAGCAGAATATCCAAATATAATTTAAGAAGAATTAGAATAAAATCAATCCCTGTGGCAGTCCCTGTTGAGATACCCTGGGCTGCTTTTTCTCTATACCAAATTCACCAGGTTTTGTAGAATGAGATAGTTTTGTGTTCTAGAAATTTCTCATCATCAGACACTACGCCGTCAGGGGGATGTCGGTGGGGGGAAGCTGAAGACTGCTGTCCAGCTTCTGCAAACATGGCAATTCTGAGACTTCCACTCATCCCTCCCCACGGCACCGTTGTCGGTGTTCCAGGACGTGTGTTTCCTGATTCGGCAGGCTCCCGGAGCAAAGCCTGCATCTCAGAATGGTTAGTTAGTTTCCCATGGAATTCCGAGAGAAGAATACCCCAAGCCATTGAATGAGAAGGTTGTGGCATATAGGACTTCTAATAGCAGAATTATTTTTACTCCGGAGATTTCAGTAAGGGTTTACTCACTAATGGCCATTACTCAGAGGCAGCCTTGCTCATGTCTGCTTTGGCCCCCCAGTGCTCGCCGCTCTCCCCTGCTCTCCTGGGCGCAGTGTGTGTGAGCTGCACTACCATCTTCATCTTCATCACTTCTATCACCCTCAGCTATTACGGGCGCAGCAACACAGTTTTGCGGCTGTGTTGCTTAAACAGCATGTTTTCTTTTTCTTTACGCTGTTATCACACTAAAACATAGCAGGCAACCTAACGTAAATCAAGTTCTTAATTACTCAGTTGCTTTATTCACAATTCGTATTAGAAATCTCTTCAGAGGGAGACCCTGGTAGGCCCTAACTGCCATTCCATTTTCTAAACTCCGTAGATTTTTTTCTATCTATCTTAGCTATCTCTTCTGATTCATTTCCCTGTGTCTCCATACTTAACAACTGTTTTTGCCATTACGCAAAGGATAATTCTTTTTTTTTAGCAAATAAAATCATGACTCTCACACGGATAAAACACTGAAAGCTAAAAATTGCATTTTAGAGATTTTGTTGACTGCATTATTTTAGCATAATATATGCTGTTGAATGCATTATTAATAAAACTGTTACAACAAGTTCAAAAGAAAACCAGAAGAACTGACCCACTGACACATCGGGAATATTGAAATGAACATGTCAAGGAATGCACACTGGCTTCTTACCCTTTGGAGGAACAAAGTGCACGGAACTTCTGCCAGGTAGCAGCTTTGTATAGAGGAAACGCTTGCTGGAAGGAAGCTATGCCTTGCTTTCTAAGAAGCCAGTCAAACAAAACCCCTGCCTGCTGAGACTGGACAGCTGTGTCAGGCACGCGTTGAGAACTTGTCCTGTGTGCAGGTTAGGGTTAGTGAATTCCTCAAGAGACAGAAAGGGCTAACACCGCACCGAGTGTCCGTTCTCCAAGAGTGATAAATAAAGAGCTGCAAAATTTTTGAAATATTTGTACTTTTTTCAGAATATACATCTTTCACAAACTTTTAGATGCCTTTAAATGCAGAGATGCAAAACGTTTGCACTAAATTAAATTGATCATTTAATTAGTTTTCCTCAATTATTTAAATCACCCTGATAGACGGGTGACAGATGGATAAATAGATGTAGATATTACATGTATGTGTGGCAAAATAGCTTTTTCATTTAAAAAAATAAATGAAAATTTAATAAATGAAAATTTCAGTCATGATCGAGTCAGAATAAGATAACCTGAAAAGTTGCATCCTAATCTAGATGGTGCCTTGTCCTAATTCATTCATTCATCTATTTATCCCATCATTTCTTCAACCCATATCTTCTACATGTTGTGCCAAGCCCATGTACAGGAGATGTAGACACTGTGACTCACATGTCACAAGTTGTCACTGTTCTCACAGTGGAAAAGACAAAATGCATCACAAAATATTGAATCAAAGGTTGAAACGGGATCTGTATCTTTCATGGTTTTTCTTTCTAAATACATACAGGTAAAATCATCAAGTACCACAGTCATTTCTGTAAGAACAGTAAGCAGGCTCTAAGTTGAGTAAGTTCAGATATTCCCCTTAAGCAAACACATGAAATTTGGTCCCATTTCCGTTGCTCAGTCGGTGATGAAGACTCCGTCGCATCTGCTTTGCTCCACAAGTTGAGATGGTCTGATGGAACATGTCATCTCTCTAACCACATCACTCACAGCACTTTGTCAGCAAAGTGCAATCTCTCGTAGATTCTCCTATAATATTGGAATATGCTAGAATTTCACAGGGGGAACATTTATAAAAGCTGTCCTTTAATGAATGACCCAAACAATCTGAATGTCTTTAGAACCCCTTGCCAAACCTTAACGGCCACATGTGAATGGGGAGCCAAAGACCACTAGACTTTGGTCTACGTCATCTTAGTGTGACAGAAGGCGCCGGGACCAAGAGGCATCGGGCAGGTTGATTGTCCTGAGCTTCTTCCTGCATGCCACAGGTTCACCCCACGATAAGGTTAATAGTTTTGCCAAACCAAAAAAGCACAGTCCAGCAAAGGCTAAGCTGACAGATTTGCCTGGTTAATAACAACCCCACACTTCAAACAGCCTGGTTGAGTTGGCTAGAAATACAGAGTTTTAGACCTGTGTATGGCCTACTGCTGCCATTTTGCTTTCCAAATTTGGAAGCAGGCTCAGATTTTCTAACTTTCCCAGGAATACAGATCGAGGCCAGAGCTAGGACCCCGATCTCCTGACTCCCGCACTCGTCTCCCTCCACATCTCCTGCCCTGTCCTGTTGGCCACCACCAGGTTCATTAGTGTACGGAGTGTGTTGTTTTTGACAGGAGCATTCTCATGACACAGCGCAAGGGCGAACTCGCATGCAGGGAGGAAAAGGCAAAATCATACTTCTTGCTTCACCAGAAAACTAATGCAGAAAAATAACGGAAGGCAATAAGACTATCAATTTGTCCTGTCTCGTTTAACCAGCCTCTCTCTTCAAAACTCTGATGATGGGAGAGAGGTGGGAGTGATAAATTTTAATGTGTAACTCCTTGTCTTGTTTTCAGTGTTGATCCATTTTCAAGTATTAGCTAAAAAAAGGTGGGGGGCGAGGGGGAGGATTCTACCAACTGTTACTGTTTTTCTCCAATTTGGGATATTCCTCTGCAATACACAAGAGAAATGTGACAACAGCAAATATTTAGTAGAGTTTTGACTACTTACAATCTGTTTCTTACATCTTCCATCAGAGGTATTTTGATTAATTTGTTCTCGTGCCTGCATATATCATGGCAAATATAGTTGGAAGTCTGTTGCTGGAGAAGTTGAAGGAAAGATTCAATATGTCTGTCTCCTGTTACAAACATTGTGGAGCTTTCATTTATTTTATTTGTCAGTATAATGGAAATGTTTGTGGAATTCACATTCTGGTAGTGATATTGTGGTAGATATTTTATTTTTTGTGTTAGTTGAGTGCTGAACCTTTGACAGAAGTGTTGAGTGCAAAAGAATAGCTTCTAATCATTTTACCAAATTATGCAGATCACATGCCAAAATAAATTTTGGCAAATTTAATCTAAAAAGAATTAGTTATATATTCATAAGTAAAAGTTGATAATGAATGTCACAAAATTTTCGCTTTCTTCTTTACTGGTAACATGGATATGTTGTAAATGTTCGTTTATGTATTTATTTGAAAGGCAGTGTTACAGAGAGAGCGAGAGAGACAGAGATCTTTCATTTCTTGGTTCCCTCTCCAAATGTCTGCAGTATCCTGGGCTGTGCCAAGCCCCAACCAGGAGCCTGAAACTTTATCTCAGTCTCCCATGTAGGCGGCAGAGGCCCAAGAACCAGGGCCATCTTCTGCTGCTTTCCCAGGCACGTTAGGCACTGGGTAGGACGCAGAACAGGTGACAGTTGAACTTGTACTCATACTTGGCATCATAGGTGGCAGCTTAACCTACTCTACCACAAACAGCAGCCCCAACATTAATCAGAGTGGAAAAATCATGGTTAGGGCTGGCATCGTGACATAGCAGGTAATGTCCCCACCTGCAGTGTTTGCATCCCATGTGGTTGTGGGCTTATGTACAGATGACTTCACTTTAAGCTCAGCTCCCTGCTGATGGCCTGGGAAAAGCCATGCAGAATGACCCAAGTACTTGGGCCCCACCACCCCGTGGGACACCCAGCTAAAGCTCCTGACTACTGCCCGGCGCTGTCCATTGTGAACATCCTGAGTGTGGACAGCACGTGGAAGGTCTCTCTCTCTTTAACTGTGACTTTCAAATAAAAAATCTTTTTTAAAAAGGTGTTTTTAGGAAGAAAAACATCATTGCTCAGATTGTATAATATAAAGTGTTTTACTAACTGTAATTTGCACTTTTTCTTGCACCTGGTAGCTTCAGTGAATTCCTAGTATATCAGCCATCCATAGTGGTTTGGAACTGTAATAGGGAGCATTTTTGTTCCTTTTGGAAGGAAAATAAAAATAATTATGCCGCTGTAAAAGATTGTATATCTGATTCCATGACATGAAACCTTTAATAATCACATTTCCTAATACTTTTCATCCTAAATATTGTCTCGCTAACTTACATGGAAAGGTCAAATAAAATCAGCACAAATACATGGGGATAGTATACCTTTCTGGGAAAAGAATCTATTGACTGCAATTTCCAAGTCCGAAGAATCCATTTGCATTGATTGTGTTTCTCAAAGAGCTTTGATGACTAGCAGGCTCTGACTCAGAGAAAAGGTGATTTTGATTTTCTTTATTTATTTTAACTTTTGCAGACTAGTGACGGTCTCCTCTCTTTCTTCCCCATTTCTGCATACAAGAAACGGCCTGGACCGTCATCCAGCACAACGGCTCGGACTTAACCAGGGTCAGGCACATGGACCCAGAGAACCCACACGCCGGGCTGTTCAAGTACGTGGCCAGCATGGAGCAACTGCAGGCCACAATTAACCGTGCGGAGCACTGCGAGCAGGAGCTGACTTACTATTGCAAGAAGTCACGGCTGGTGAACAAGCAAGGTGAGTAAACCAAGGGCGCACCTGTCACCTGGCCTTCCCGCTCCACCAGCTCCTGAGGGTTTCATTTTGTGAAGGGGATGGGGCTGCTCAGTGCCTGCATCCTTAGCACAGGTATCACAGCGTGGAAATCGCAGGGATGCTTTTGCCTAAAGAAAAGAGCAAGGTCAATGTACACTGAGCAAGCTTTGTTCAAAGACTTGATTGCTTTCAGACTCCCCTCCTGACCTTCATCGGGCAAGTCGGCAGTGAGGGCTTCATTCTGGTACCTGAAGAATGTACAGTGTTTATCCCGTTAAAGGAAAAGTGACATATAGGGTTTATTTTTATCACAGAAAGGAGCTAATAAAAAACATGACTGACTTTTTTGAAAGGGACTATTCTGTGTGGCTCATTTGCATGAGTGGTTGACAGGTAGCCTCTGGAAAGAGTTGAAAATTAGAAGGGCTGCTAGCAACACGGTTGAGCTAGTTGCTCGAGTGGACTCAGAGAAATCATTCCGCTGTTATGCCACTGATAACCAGGATGCTGCTAGACTCCGCCTTTTGGGTTTATTTTTTCTCCCTTTAGACCATCTCATTCTGCCAAACCTGCTAGCCACCCCCCGACTTTGCCTCAGAATCAGCTTTATTGGCCTAATTTTTGAAGTGAGCACATGAGCTCTCCCACGGCCCCCTGGCTTGTCAGTGTTTATAGTTCATAGCTGTCTGGTGTACAATCCAGATGAAGTTATTGTGACTTCCTGCTGCGTGTCTGTGAATGCAGATTCCTCGGCCTGGCCCTGGAACCACAGCTTCCGAACGCAGCCAGCTTGTGCAGCCCTCACGCATCCCCCACACTGCCTTCAAACTGCCAGGTGAAGGTTTATTTTTCCTTTAGATCAGAGAGATTCAAAGACATTGGTACAAGAAACCATTTCATCGGCGGTCACTCCTGCTTGTTGTCCTAGCAGGGGGCTGGAGTGTCAGGTAGGATGACGACTCAGAGAGAATTAAAAAAGAAATGTTTCACGTCCAAACTGTTGAACTGTGACTCTCCTGGGAGAAACTGTGAGAAATAATGACTTGTTCCTCCTGCTTTACACTCCAGCTGCTCAACAGGGCCATTGCTTTTTCCTCCGTTCTCTATCTGCCCTTCTGCTCATTCTCCTCTTGTTCATTCGGCTCTTCTTTCTTTTTCAGAATGTTCTCTTTTGGTCATGGACCTCTATGCGCCTATCCCATGTCCCCAAAATGCCAGTTGCATCTTTGAGCCCTAACCAGACACCTGTCATACAAAGAACATAGAATTTACAGAGGGAGAGGGCTGAATTCAAATCCCAGGTCTCTCAGTTCATAGGTATAGGATTTGTTCAGATGAACATTGGATCTCTTTTCTCTTCTCTACAGTGGAACCAATAGTATCAGCCTCCCAGGAGAGCAGGAATGTTGGGGAACATCATGCATGCCAAGTGCACAAAGTGAACCTTTCTCACTGCACGGTGTCCCTGGCGCAGTTGTTGTAGTCCACATGCCTGGTCTGAAATGTAATCTATCATTCGTTGTTGCTGCAGTTGTCCTGGAATCTTAAAAAAAAAAAAAAAACATGAAAAGATAAAACAAATCTAGAAGTGCGTTCTAGGAGAAACAAGAATGGCAGTTCTGCAAGTCCAGAGGAAAGCCATGGAATACAGTGAATGAACTGGGTTGTTTGGCCAGGGACCTCCTGTGGTATTCGGGCTTTGCCCTCATGTCCTCTCCGGTCAGTGATGTCATCACGAAGGCACGGTTTCCTTCTTTTGTAACGGTTGAGTGGTAGTCTGTTGTTTGTAAATATCCGCTCGTCTGTCAGCAGTTGTAGGTTATTTCTGTATGGTAGCTACTATGAATGGTGCTGCCATGAAAGAGAGCAGCTGCCTGTTGGCAAGAGCAGAGGACGTTATCAGCCAGACAGAGGCCAATACTGCATGACCTCACTCATCCGGAAAGGGTTCTCAAAGTCCTGGGAAAGTCGTGACGTTTCATTTTAAATTTGATTTTTTTTTTAACCTGAGAGACAAAGAAATGGTGGTTCAGCTAGACAAAGCAAGAAGCAGTTTCTGTCAGCTGGTTCCCCAGATGTTTGCATTGGCTGTGCTGTGCTGCAGACTGGAGGCGGGAATGCAAACTAGGTCTCCCATGTGGGTGGCCAGAAGCCTACTGCTTGGGTCATCACTGCCACCTCCCAAAGTCTGCATTAGCAGGAAGGTAGAATCCAGCATCAGAACCAAGTACTGAACCCAAGTTCTGTGATATTGGATGTGGGCACTTTAAGCACTGTGTTAAATGCCCACCTCTACTTAAACTCTTCACTATATTTTTGAATAGTCTAGGATGAACTGAAAGTGTTTTGAATCTTTACCACGTTCAGTGATACTTACTTCAAAATGAAGAGGGGAAATGTAGATTTGAAAATGTAGTTTGGTATCCAGGACCAATATTTTCCTCTCCTCTCTCTGAATACATAACGTGTTAAGCATTACAGTGAAATAAATCTATTAAATGTTTCTAGTAGGTTTTGCCTTCTACTGATAATTGTGCGAGTAGAAAAGAGAATGAAGATCCTTGCTATTAGTACCTGTATGCTCAATGTATACTTCCGATAACTTCGCTTTCTTTTTGATGTGGTTGGACTGGCATGTGTGGTAATGGTGCAAGAGAGGTTGGTAGCATCCGCAGAAAGACTATGTGACAGCAAGATAAAATGTGTGATGACATTTGGAAATAAGGAAAAATTAATGAAAATCCTAGAGTCTCAGGGAGTCATAGTGCTAACAGAGATGTGAAAGGCAACGGAGAACAATCCTGCATCTTGGAGGAGTTGATGGATTTGATGTCGCTTGCATGCTTTTCACGCCTCTGTCCTCCAAGGACTATGATTTTCCTTCTGTTCTTCCCTCTCACCCCCAAGACAGATTGTCTACAAGCCTCGTCCCCCTTTTGGAAAGCTTTACCTAAGCACCTGGATGTTCTTTGCTCTGATTTCTTGGCATCTTGTTTAGTTGCACTCTGTGAAGGAGCTGCTTGCTGCACGTTCACCTTGGAAAGATGTATATTTCTCTTTTTTCTTCTTGAGGGACATGTTCACTTTTTAAAAAAATTATTTTTCATGATGTTTATATCATTTATTAGTGGGAAGGATCAAGGATTAGGGAAAAGTGGGTGAGACCAGTGTTTTGAAAAGGAGTACGGGGGGAGAGATAAGCTACACCCAGCCTCCAACAGTCTTACAACCCAGGGATAGGGAACTGTCACCTGGTGTCATCTCAGGGTCACAGATGTGGAGCATGCTCCAAGGGTTCTGCTCAAGTGATTTCAATACTTCTGATACTTCTGAAATGTTGCTGATCTTGCTGCTCCCAGGATGAGGGAATTCTTCTAAGGTCCATTGGCTGGCAAAGTCCATCTTAGAGTCTCCATTCGCCCAAATTTTTGCTGTCAGTGCCTGACTAGGGTAGGTAGTTGACCAATTTGTTCTGCCTTCCTTTCTCTGCGATGGTACATGATGTCTTCTGCAGGCCCCAATGGACTGCTGTATCCTCCATGTGCATCTGAGTATGCTGTCCACTGCTCCACTAAGGCCACCGAGTAGGCCTAGTTCTGACACAAGCACGCCACGGTCAGACCACAGATCCTGTGAATTTCCCTATGATTGGAGTTCTGAGTCCAGCAGTTCAGTTGTGGTGGTGGTGGGGATCCCCAAAGAAACCTCATCTGAAGTGATCCCAGATCTGGCTTTCTGTGTGCTTGCCAGTGCAGAGTCTGGGTCTGTCCATCACCCACATCAGCCTACACACAGTAGTTGCAGTTGCTGTTTTTTTGCAGCCCGATGTCTTACATAAACCAGTCCTGCTGCACCCATTTCCAGCCCTGGGTCTTGCACTCCCCAGGCAGTTCCACAGTCTAACTTAACAGAATTTGCCCCCAGCCCCTGCATTTGCCAGCTGATGCTGTGGCAAAGCCCAAGCAGCCTGTACTTAGTCTGGCTCATGTATGCACCAGTGGATGCAGTTGGTTAATCCAGCCTGGCTCTCTCCCTAACCCAGCTCACATGCAGACCAACAGGTGTTGTGGCCCTGCCCAGCTTGGTCTGCTCCTGATCCCAGTTCTCATGCTTTCCAGTGGGAGTAGTGGCCCAGCAGGGCCCCATACCCACCTCTGGCAGCCCTCTCTCCTGGCTCACACCCCCAGCCCGGGTCTCACATGTGCTGGTTGAACACTGTGGCCAAGTCTGGCATGGGCTGCCTCACCTCAGCATTTCCTGGCAAGTGTTGTAGCCCTGCATGGCCCAGTCTGCCCCCAGTGGTGGGTGCCATGCGCTACCCCAGCACAGCCAGCCCCAAATCCCGACCCTAATATGAACTGGCTTGTGTTGTGACCCCGCCTGTCCTACGCCCATCCCTCGTCTTGGTCTTTAACATAGAATGTTACAGTCTTACCTGTCCCAGCCTGCCCCCAATGCAGCACACATGGAGGTTAGGTCTGAGGCAGACCAGGTTGGACCAGTTTGTAACACCCACTGGCAGATCCATTCACTGGTGCCTGCTGCAGCCTAGCCATGTCCAGCCTGCCCTCATCCTTGGCTCATGCAAACTGATAGGTGTGATAGGCTAGCCTAGCAAGACCCACACTCCAGCCTGGCTCCTGCGCATGCCATTGGGCTAAGGTTGGCCTGGTCCTGCTCCAACCCACACACTTGCCCGGACTCACCAACACCCAGACCTGAATCACAGGCTCAGCAGTGGGAGGTATAGCCCAGCAGGGGAGGTTTCAGGTTCCCCCATCAGTCCTACTCCCAGACCAGATTTGACATGTGCTGGCTGGTGTTAAGCCCTTACCTGGCATAAGCTGCCCCCTCCATTCTGGCCTTTGTATGAGCTGGTAGATGTTGCATCCCAGGCCACCTCACACCATATTCTTCAGTGTGCAGTCTGGACCAGTGTGGACCCAACACCAGTATCCATGAATTTCAGAGGGTTCCATGGTCATGCCTAGTTCAGCCTGTCACTACCCACAGCTCTTAAGCAAACCAGTGCAAACTGCAGTTCCACAGGAGTGGGCCCATATATTATTCCCCACAGAATCTTCCCATGGACCTGGTTCTCTTGCATGCTGGTTAGTGTCATGATTCAGCTTAATGTGACCCATCCCCTGTTCCGACTCTCACTGGTGGATACTGTGATCTAGCCCTGTCAGGTAGGCATGCAGCCCCAGCTTTAGTGTGTGCCAGTGAATGGTTTCAGGCTGTAATCCATGCTAACTGGTCCAGCTGAGATCCCCCCACGTGGGCTGATGCATCCATCTGGCCCATAAAATTCCTGCGGTTTCCCCCTTCAAACTGCTCAGTCTCAGCACCTCTTGCTTACCTGCAAGTACAGTGGCCTTCTCAACTGTAGTCCCTCAGCAGTCATTCCTGCAACATGCTCCCTCAGTGGTCCTGCTTCCCCTGCATCTCCTTGCCCATTTCCCTAATCAATTCACGGTCCCTGTGCTGAGGAGCTCATGGGTTCCCCAGCTCAGTCCACTGGCACACCACGCCAGCATGCTAACCAGATCCTCTTGGCCCCCTCCGCACAGGAACAGGCAGGTGGGGAAATCCCCGGGCTCCCTCCACTTGCCTGGGTGTGAGCCTGCGGGTCCCTCTGCTGGCTCCATCCCCATTATCCCCTCCCCCTAGATGCCAACACCCTCAGGCCACTATGAGCCTGGCCATGGTGGTAGTGTCAGCAGAAGCAAGCAGCTGTCTGTGGCAGCCAGAAATATTTACTTCCAATAAAATCTTTTGTGTTATTTTTGTATTCTCCAAATAAATGGTAGATATATGGAAGAGAAAATACAGACTTACAAATGAATCTGGAACCATGACAAAGGAACACAACATGATTTTAATGTCTAATGTCAGCCAATATATATTAGCTAAAGAAGAATTTTAAATCAAATTTGCTTTGTTGTTCTAATTAATAGTTTGCATTTTTATGCCAAATAAGCTTAGTTTTAAAAATTGTTTTCAAGAAATTGTATGAACCACTACATTGCCTTTTTGCTACTATCATGCTTGAATTAAATACAAAGTATACATTTCTTTTCAAATATAAGAAAAATAGTGTGAATCACATAAGCCTAAACAATAATTTCTTTTGAAAAAGATTTCTCAAAGAAACGTCATCAGTTACAGCATTTTAGCATATCATTGTATCAAATCAACCTTTGTCTCCTTTCTTCTTTTATTCTTTTTTAGTGATTTAGGAAGAAAAGGAATTATCCTGTAATAAAAGAATGCCAAGTATATCTGGCAGGTGTCACATTTCTCACCTTTGCCTTGCAGATGGAGCCCCTCTGAGCTGGTGGATTGGTAGAACCAATGAGACACAAACATACTGGGGTGGGTCGATGTCTGACCCTCGAAAATGCACCTGTGGCGTAGAGGGGACCTGCATTGATCCCCAGTACTACTGCAATTGTGACGCCGACCGCAACGAATGGTGATTTCCATATGATTTCTCTCTTGTAGATAAAGTTTATTTTCTTCAATTAATGAATCAAAGTGTATGCAGTGAGGCAACTGCTGAACCAATTAGTACAAAGAAAACAACTAGATAAGTGTATATTTTAATAATATATATATTAGCCAATCTGATCTTGAACATTATGACCAATGTTCTGAAATTACTCTTCATTCTAATGGACCAAACTTTATGTAAATTTTACCTTTATTGTATGATTAAATTGTGGGACCAATTATATGTGAAGTCAGTTATTATTACCTTTAAAATTCTAATATTTCCAAATTTGTTCACAGTTAATCACCAAAGCATCGGTTCAGTAATCTGCCTTTAGAAACTTTAAACATATCAACTTAGAATATTCCACAATTATGTGGACAAATTGCTCTTTTTCTTAAAGAATCATATTTTACAGTGGAAATCAGTAATATTTCAGATTTGAAAACTGAAGATATTCTGTAACGCAGAAGTGTTCCGCATGAGATCTTCATCTGTAAATGTTTAGTATTTAGAACGAGAATTGGCATATTTACTGCTCTTGCTATTTGTAAGCTAGAAAATATACGAAAATGTTCTTAACCATATTTTAGCGTGAATAAGCATATCTTACATTGCTGAACATTCACGCCTTCACAGAATTGTGGGTTTTTTTTTTTAATATTAAGCTAATCTGGCTGTAAATCTGATTGGTTTGATTTACACAGCAAACCTTAACCCCAGTGATCAGTTGACTGTTAATAAGCTCACAGTTTGCGTTATAATATGCCATTTATTTACTGGGGAAAACATCCAAATTATGTCATACGTATGTTTTATGATTAGATTGTGCTAAGCCTATCTGGAGCCATGATTGAAATTATAGTGTGACATGCTTGGTATAAAGAATAATTGCTATTACTGTAATTTTGAGGTTTATTCTCCCTTTAGAAAAACACTTTTTATTTTTCTTATTAATCTCATAAAAATTGCCTACATGGTAATATTGCATTTTGAAATATAGATAAAATGGCTTTAGAAGTTCAAACTGTAAAACCATCATGAAGAAAACTATGGAGGATCCTGAGATCTGAAAGTAGATAGGCCGCATACCACACCAGCTGTCCTCCTTCTCGGTGTGTGAGTCGGCGTGTGGAGGCAGTACCTGACCGACCGTGTTCACTGTAGCAGGAGGAGGGAATTCACCGAGGTGCGCACTGACATGTGAAGGTTCCGGGAACTGGAGTTTATATGTACAGTGCAGTCTCTGCCATAAGGAAGGCCAACATTCTGACAGCTTCAGCAAAATGGACGTGGCTGAAGTCAGTATGCTAAATATGGGCCAGACACAGAAAGCAACGTATACTTTTCTGCACGTGGAAGTAAAAGCAGAAGGGCCAATTGAACTTAAAATGGTGATTATTAGAGAATGAGAAGGACAGGGAGAGAAAGGATAGAGAGGTTGCATAGCAGGAACCTGCAGAGTAATAAATTACAGTGTTCCACACAATACAGTGTTTGTTCAAGGTGGGGGCGGGGGGAACTATAATCCGAAATGGTGCGTCACAGTCTGTATAAAGAACTGCAAGACTGAAACTGACCAGCTGCGAACTTAAAGGATAGGTAAGGAAGTGAGAAAGTTACTTGCCTGGTTTCACAGGTTTTCACTTTTGTGTTAAGTATTTCATGTATCCTATAACATACAAGTTCAAAAAAACATAAGAGACATGTAATACAAATATTACATGTTAATCAAACATTTAAAATAATTTGAAATTCAATAGATAAGGAAGTTAGAAATTAGTAGTATATAAAAAATAATTTTACGATGGCTGTCAAAAGGAATACTGAAATGAACAAATATATTAAAATGCTGTTATGTCAGCATGAAAGATGAGAAAATATGTGTCAAAAATAAATGAACTCCAATTAAAATAACAAAAGCAGGTGTTACAACCTCGGGGGCATTGATGTTTGAATTAGTAGGCTAATATTTAGAACAACGTATGAATATGTTTGAAGATTTTAAAATAAATATAATCACAGTAAGGGAACTGAGAGTACTTTAAGTAAAAACAAGAACTCAAAGAACCAAATTTTAATTGTAGAGTGTATCAGATATGAAAATTTCTAGTAGGAATTCCTATGGCTGAAGAATCACAATGTTGTGTAAGAGTTCAGACCCCAAGGAAAAAATTCATGAGTACTACACATCTTTTAAAGATGTCAGTAAATATCAAAGCTAGTTTTTATATTCTTGTCTTATTTTATAAAATTTACTTTTTAACTGTGCTGTGAATTTATAGAAATGGGTGTAAAATAGAACTGTAGCACAAATAACAAATATGTGAGTGTCTATGCATGGGATGTTAAGTAAGATATCCTTTGGCATTTTATAGTTATACCATAAAACAGACCATGTTAAATTGAGGATGCATTTTTATTTCTCAAAGCAGCCATTAAAATGCATAAGACATTTAAAATGTTAATTGTTTGAAGAGACCATCTTTACCCTGATTGGAGCAATGCATACTTGGAGTGAGACATACTGTAGCACTCCATAAATGCGTACATTTTCATGTTTATGGACATTTGAAGATGTTAAAAAGAGATATTTCTAAAAACTGACTAGACAAAATAAAATTGAATTTAAAATTTTAGTAAGTCAAAAGGAGACATCATAGGGGGAGCAGAAAGCAATGTGAGGAAAAAATAAACAAATGGCAAAATGCTGGAGCTAAAACACAATATCGGCAATTATGCTACGTGTTAATGGACTAACTATTCCAGCCACAAGGTAGAAAATGGCTGACTTAATTCAAAATCCTCAACTATTCTCATGTTAGCATGGGCAATGACTCATATTTTATAATTTAATCTAGCTAAGAGAGATGAAAATGTCATTTTCATTGGACCAGATGAAGAGTTGGAAGTCTATCCTTTGTACAAATTGAAGTTAGATATTTTGCTTTTGAAATGCATATCAGACTTATTGTTTATTTTGTGATTGCGTTGATCAAGTAATTTTAGGAATTTGTTGTTGTTGCTACTGTTTTTTTAGGACCAATGACACTGGGTTCCTTTCTTACAAAGAGCATCTACCGGTGACTAAGATAGTGGTTACAGACACAGGCCGGCCGCAGTCGGAAGCAGCTTACAAGCTGGGGCCCCTGCTCTGCAGAGGAGACAGTAAGTGGTCACAGTGTGCTGTGGATATATCGGGGAGCCATGCACTGGGCAGGCGTGGTCCCTCTGCCATGAGCTCAGGGTATTCATGTCCGGAGCACCAAGGTTGATGTCAGGTGTAATCGGTGAGACTCCTGCTGTGAGAGTTCATAGGTAAGGTTTGAAATGTTCTTTTAGTCAGCAAACAAGTGTTTCCATGAAGCACAAAGCCCTTGCTTGATAAACCCTGCTAAGATTCTAGAAGGAAACCGCTGAATATCTCAGTTTGATTCTTTCATAAGTGTATTCCTGGATTCTAGAGTTTCTCTTATTCACACAGCAAAGCCTGAATACTGCAAAAAAAATCATTAAGAATTCAGGTGAACTTGCTACTGCTAGAACTGAGGTGGAATTAGAGTATCAGTGGTATGAAATGTCAATTGAACTAGACGTTTTCAACTTTCAATGTCTTTTTTTTTTTAAGCTTGTGTGAGTTTATGTATGTGTTGCTTTAAACTTATGGGACATGCTGCTTTGTCTGTTTCATATATAGCACTGTGACATTTTAAAATGCAGGTGTAATCCCATCCTATAGATAAGTTCAGAGACAATCTGTGGTGCGTGTGTATGTTTTCATCAAGGGGTGAAATGAGCATATGCATGCACTCATGGATTGTTACTTTCTCTGGAATTAGTTCTGTTAGATGCAGTTGTGTTCATTCTGCATGCTTTTGGTATTTCTAGAACATAACATGGAAATGAAAATAGAAGAATTATGTGTTTCCATTAAAAGCATCCCTTGAAATAAAATTTTATTCTGCAATCTCAGTAGAAGAAAAAAGGGGTCTGATAATTCAGTTGGTTTAGCAAGATACATAGCAGAAGTTGCTTAGTTAAAAAGCAAAGATGGTACTGGCCTATAAAAAAATCATGCGCGTCATAAAAAGCTGTCGGAAATTAATGGTCACCATCTCTGATGTGCATCATCCCTGCTTCCTCCTACGCCAGTGAGCCTTCCACAGCTGCACAAGATGACATAGGATGTTTCATGGAGAGAAGAACATCAGTGCAGAGAAGCAAGGCTGTGAATTCAGGCTGCACAGGGAGGAATGTAGTGGGTTTCATTGCTCTGGAGACATTCTGTGCATCTCATATACCTTGTGGGGCCTGTCCTGCAGTTAACCGTGCAGACACCCAGGCTGCCTTCTTGTGTCTTCTTGATTAGCATATCACAGTTCTTGGGAATTGGGCCACTCGGACTGAAGTCACTCACTGCCAAGGCTCTCCCTCAGATGTTTCTTTGTCTCAGACTCGCTGCCTTCTCTGTCATTTCGCTTGGAAGCAGTGGTTCTTGTCTCCCTTCCCCTGACCAGGATTCTGGTACTGCCGGGGGACGTTTTTGATTTATACAATTGTGGAGAGTGGGTTGCTACCCACATCAAGGGTGAGAGTCCTTGGGTGCGGTTTAACACGTTGCAATGCAGAGACAGCACTCCACAATGAGGAGTAAACTAACTCCACGCGGCGTAGTCCCGCAGTTAGGAAGCTACAGCACTGACCTTTCCTGACCGTGGGGTGAGAGAAGCCAGCCACATTAGCAGTAGGAATTTACAAACACTATCCATTATTTAGAGATCTGATAATTAACCTCTGACTTATTAATGAAATTGTAATTGAGAAATTGACCTTCCTGTATCTAGCATATACTCTGAGAATTGGGGTTCATCTGCACAGGAGATCATAAGGGCTGCTTTTCTTTTCCATGATGGGCTCTTTCTGTTTATTTATCTACTTATTTAGCCAGAAGATCAATACTTTAGAACAAACATGCCTTATCTATAAGTGAGAAATCGGTACACTGTTAGGTGTGGTGCCCTAGGCTTACTTTTCTTTTATTCCCAAGTACAGTACATTGGGCAGACAAGGGGAAGAAGGTGTGAGACCTTGCACAAAGGGCCTTGTAAGTGGAGAAGTGGTACGGGGACATGATCCTGCAGGCATCAGCCCTGGACAGTCAGTAGTTTAAGTCTGAGAGATAACTCTCACGATTCAGTTCAAAAGCTGGCGATCAATTACAAACCTAAAGACTGATAAGGAGATCTTTGTTATAGACAAAAGGAAATGATGAGTGCTTAAACTGGGATAATAGTTGGTACTGGACTTAGCAAAGGGGATCACCAGAGAAAGAGTACCTGTGGATACGAAGGTTTGTGGGTGGTCATCAGCTTATTGGGATAAAAACCATTAGCACTCTTTATAAAGAAAATTAAAAACCATTTTTTATTCAAATTAAAAAAACTGCAAAGAATTAGAATACAAAGATTTTAAAATTTTTTCATAGAAATTAGAAATATTGGAAAATATCTCTCTACCTATGTCATTCCACTTCCCTTCCCTACCCCAGGGAAAAGGAGGCTTTGGAAAAAAAGCAAGGCCAACAGGATACCTAGTGAGTTTAACCCTTACACGTAAAATCAGAAACTGTCAAACTTTTCAGAAATTGTAGGAGAAAGTAACTGGGATTAAGCACAAAATGCTTGGAATCAATAAGAAAAGGACAGTCCAGTTGAAAAGGAATAAACTGGCCTTCACCAAAATCAAAAGCTTCCACTTTTAAAAAGATAATATGAAGAAAATGAAAAGAAAAAAAAAAAGATACTCATTGGGAGAAAACATTTGAAAAGTACTTGCTTTATAAAGGCCGGTATGTAGAATATGTAAATAGCTTTCTCATAGTGCAATAATAAAATAATCAGATTAGCAGAAGGACAAAATATTTGCACATACACTTTGTCAGAGAAAGCATGTATTTCAAAAAAATGCCTCAAAAAATCTTCAACAGCCTGAGTCACTAGGGGAATGTGAAATAATACCAACATTGAGCTGTTAGAGTGGCTGAAACCAAAAGGTTAAAAACCTCCGTATGCCAAGGGCTGATAAAGATACAGGGCAAGTGGGCACCCGCAGGACATTTCACCTACAGATTCAAAATAGTACAACACTTTGGGAAACCATTTAGCAGTTGCTTCTTTTGTTAAATGCATCTGGCTGACCATGTAACGCAGTACCTGAGAATGCTACTTGGGAGAAATGAAAAACCTCATGCAAATGTTTAAATTGGCTTTAGTCTCTTGAAGCTGACAAGCACATACTGTCTGCCAATAGTGACTGGCTATACTTCCCATTTTACTGTGGTTCACTCAGTAAGTGCTATGACATGTGTTGACGTATGCAAACCATACAGATGAATTTCAATTGCATATCATGCTAACTGAAAAAAAGCCAAACTCAAACACTATGTCCGTTGACTGATTCAGTTTCTAAGGCATTCTGGAAAAGTCAGAAGCATAGGATCAGAAGGATGTCTGTTACCAGAACTGAAAGGATGAGAGGAATGCTCCAACGAGGCCCAAGGGAGCTTTTGATAGATGAAGGAAATGTTCTACATTTTGAATGTATTGGTGGTTTTGTGGCTTTACGCATTGTCAAAATTCCTAGAGCTAAGATCACTCTAGGAAGATGCTCTGTCTACTTGGTACATCCTTCAACCCACCTGGCTAAAAACCAAAATAAAATAAATTTTAAAAGGCATTATAAGAAAGTGCTAATATGAATAGCTTTGGCTGCTTAATTTAAATTATTGGGTTATATAAACAATCCCAGAAGTAAACTCATAAAATGGTAGCGGCTTCACTCACATGGGAACTTGCCAATTCTGCAGAACATCTCTGCAGTCCACCTGAATGTATTTCTGATTTATTCTAACTTCAGACGTAAAGGGGTCAATAGAACGCATCAAGGGAGTACCTCAATTAGGAGGAAGCATATGACCAGGACGGTTCATGCGCACGCACACACGCACTTTCCCATCCTCAGTCTCCCGGGGCAGGGGGAGCATCGTTGTTTTGAAGTGCCATCAGAGGGCTCCTAAACCGGAGGTGTTGTTGCTTCAACATGCCTGCAGTCTCCTGGGGAGTTTGTGATAGCACAGATTTTGCTCCCCTTCCCCAGGGATTCTGCTTCAGGAGATGTGTGTGGAGGGAACAATAATAACAAGCTTTCAGCTGCCGCTGCTGTCCAGGTTCACTCTATCAGCACCGTCCCCAGACAGCGTGCAAAGTCTTTGTCGCTGCCAATGACGAGGTCGGTACGGAGCCCCAGTGGACTTCTTCAGAGTGATTTATGTCAGCCGGGTACAGCAGTTTATGTGTGTTGACCACAGGTGGTCATAAAAACTAGACTGGGGAATGGTATTCGATATGCCTTTGTTTTTCTTCTTCCATTGTTCCAGCAATTTATTTTTATTATATTTTTACAAAAGCATCACTTGGTGGAAAATTAGAGAAAGAAAAACATCCCCTTTCTACAAATAGTTAGAATCAGAGCTTCTAGGTAAGCTGTTGATTTGGATCTGAAGTAGACCGCTGGGCAGGAGGAGAACCCAAAGAGAACCAACTGCAGTTGGGATGGCTTCGGAAAGCCTCCCAACCGCCAAGAAGAGATTGGCGGTGTAGAAATAGAGGAGCAAGTGTCTTCTGTGGTTTTGCTTTTGGCCCATCTTGGGGGTCTTCTCCACTTCCATGAGTCTTACAGCATGGAGGGGAGAGGGGTCCTGGACCACAGTAGCATCCAGCTTCAGTCCTTCACTCATTCCCCTTCAATTGAACCAATCAATTCCCAAATTGAATCCCTTCACACTTTAAAATTCTTCCTCCACAAGGCTTTCTATAAAATTCTGCACTTGCAGAGTGTCCATCGGACAAGGGGACTTAGGCAATTTCACAGAAAACAGGATCAGAAGAAAAGTGTATTTTTGGCACAAGAAATAGAAATCCATGCATAATAGCGTTATTATAATACACATTTCCCATGAAATTTTGAAGACCTCTCATTTCACAAAGATGTGTTTTGCATACTCAATCTTAATTGTTTTTGAACCCTTTAAAAGCAGGTTTTACGGCTTGCTCATTCATTCTTGCAATCCTAATACCTCGTACATTACCTAGTATATGATAGTCAACAAA